GGATTTCGCAGAATTGAGGATTATGTGGCAAAAATGTGTGGCTCATTTTGGAGAATGCACTGTGTCAAGGTCTTAGGCCGGACCTTGTGTTAATTGTTTGTGCTCAGCCATGCATACAATGTAAGTTTAGGCCTTTATGTAGATTATTTACTTGAAAAATAATCCTCTGCACTGCTCCAGGATGTCACTGGCTCTGCCTCAACATACATGTACAGTATGTATTGGTAGTGATTGCCAGAGGATTTCGCAGGATTGAGGCAGTGGTCACCCCTCCAAGGACCAAATTCAAGAAAAAAGAGGATTTTGCAGGATTGAGGCCATTGCAAGTTTTACATGAAGACGGTTGGAGGATTGTGCAAGATTGAGGTTGCATCCTACCAAAAATGCCTCTGAGTTAGGGTTAATTAAAAGAACGGTTCACGTCTGTGAATCAGGTTAAGCTATTGCTATTGCAACGTCCATCTAAACAAAATATGACTTGCCACCCTTTCAACGTCTTGAAAGGTGAACAGGAAATGATAAATAAACACACTAGTCTACTGGCCCAATTTCCCACTGACTGTATGTTGAAACTGGAGCTTGTGAAAGCAGGAAATTATGTGCTCGTATACATGTGTTGTGTTCTGTCAAAAAAAACCAGATTGAGCAGCTGTTCAAAAATGGGTATTATTTTTAGTATAGATTTTCCCCATCTACAATGACGGTTTAATTTTGAAAACGGACTCTCCTTGGCAAAATTATGCCTGCTTGAAGTTTATTGTGAGAACGGCAGAGAACTGACCTGACTACATTCTGGGTTGTGCATAAAACTTCTGGTAATTTTCCCCTCAAAACAGTATAAACAAATGTTCTTTATTAGACGCAAAATTTTAATTTGAACTTTTTATTTACAGTTTTGCATCACAGTTTTTACAAAAAGCTGAAGTTCAAACAGTCTCATCCACATCATTTTTGGTAGATTTATTAAATATAATCGTTAAACGTGAACAACAAACAGAAAAATCCTGTGCTCAAACTCAAAGTGAAGAAAGGACTTTAAGTCCTATCAAATACGAACCCTAGTATGAGTAGCTGAGAAATTATTGCACCTACATGTACATGTACATGTACACGTTTACATTGTAAAATTATAGGCCTATTGCTCCGAAAAAAAAAAATAAGATGGAATTTTTGCGCCGGGGTGATATAAATCAAATTAGGTTTTGCCCTTCACCGACGTTTAAACACTGTATACTTTCTAGATGTCTTACCACTCGAACACCGAGCTAACGTAGCTCGACCACCGAGCTAACATAGCTCGGTGGTCGAGTGGTATCTGCACTCGAAAGCAGGAGGTCGTGGGTTCGAGTCCCACCTGAGTGATTTTTTCCAACTTTCACTCGGGAGGTAACACACTGAGTATACAGTGTCTAAACGTCGGTGAAGGGCAAAACTTAATTTGAAAAAAAAAATAATTGAAGTGAGCCTGTGGAGAAGAATCCAGTTACCTAAAATAAATGCATTCTTTTGTCTCTGTCCTTTAATCTTTATGCACAGCACTTGCTTAGTTTCTTTTTCACCTTTCTTAAAATTTTGAGCAATTTTGTTGCTTCAAGTAAAATAGAAAAAAATGCACAAAAAGCACATGTACATGTACATGTATTTACCGGTACCTTCATTGTATGTACAGCTTTAAACTGAGCTGTCAACCATTTGAGAAAATAAAACTAATTGTTCAGCATACATACATGTACATTACCTTATGTACCAGCAGATGTTTTGAAGCACCTGTTATTATGAGTGTCCTTGTCCATTTTATTCATTAACACTATGTTTTTTTGGTGTATTCGTGTGTCAATGTACCACGTGGAACATACATACATGTACATACCGGTAGCTTGGTGCAAACAGACCTTTAATTTGTGAAATGACACATGTACATGTACCAGTACATGCATGTGGTAAAAAAAATACACTTTTTAAGATGCACATGTGTGACCTGTTCTGTCAAAATCAGACTCTTCTGGGCGTAAGGTCAAAAATGAGATTTTTGCATATTGTTAAAAAATGTTCTTTTTCCTTTTAATACCGGTAGGTGGTTTAATTTTTGAAACCAGTCATTCCTGGGCAGAGTTATGCTATTTTGAAGTTTATTGTGTTGAAAAGTAGAAATCTGAAAAAATGGCCACGAACCTCACAAAACAGTAATCTTTAACTGATACGCCTTTAAATCATCAAAAACACTATATTTAAAGCTCAAATTAGGGTTTCAAATGTTCATACTATATTTTAGACATGTTCAGGATTACAAATATGCAAAAATTTGAAAATCGAAAAAAATCACCCCCACAGTGTTTTTTGGCCCTATCTTCATTTCAACCTCTGCCCAAAAGCGTCTGCTTTTGACAGAACAGGTCACATGTATCTTATAGGCCCTAGACTTCTCGGAATTGGGGAGACATGTTAAAATTTAAGACATTCCTAAATTTTGGTAGAACGGTGAATGAGGGGGTTGCGCTATGAGAAAAAGCCTGTAAGAAATGGTTTAAAGAAAGATGGTCCAAAACTAGTTTGTCCACTAGCAGAGTTGTGGTATATGGTCAACAGGATAGCACTGCGTCAGGTGTGGATCCGGGGGGGGGGGTCAAACTGCTGGGTTACGGAGGTATTTATACACTTTCCTGTAAGGCAAAAAAAAAAAAGTCTCCGGTTTCTGGTATGGAGCTTGCCCAAAAAGTGGTGCGGCGACGCGGCTTTTTTTTTTTTTTACCTGTTTTTTTTTGCTTCAAATGTCGGCTGATGACTGCAAATGGTGCCTGACAAAGTGCAAATATTATGGGAGACCAGAGAGGCCACATAAAGCTTATTCTCGATCATAACCCCATCTAAAAACACGTTAAAATTGTGCAGCAGCAGGATTCCAGTCAAACCAGTGAGCTTGGCGGTTTTGAGACATCATCTTTCATTGAAAAAAAAACTTTTTCATTTTGCCGACGCGCATGGCTACGGCGACACGCGCGTGCGCATACCAGAAACCGGAGACTTTTTTTTTTTGGCCTAATACACTGTATAGTCTAAATTATCGTTGGATTTGAACAGCGCCCCCATTGAAAGTACCGGTATGGTACGAGATATGGTACGAAAGTGGCTCTGATGGGGATTTTTTTGAAAAAGAGAAGTGAAGTCTGATATTTCCTACAGGATCTGATTGGTATATGTGCACAATTAAGAAATAATTGATAGGGAGCGCATCACCGGGCACAAACAAAAATACATTTTGTGCAATGAAAAAGTGTTGTGTGTGATGGACCTATTCCTACATTGTACGGTACATGTACCTCCATGTTGGGACATGGTTGACTGGTCGAACTGGTAGGATTAAACTGCTCCAATTCATTAGTGCAGCGTTGAATGGGAGGCAGTGTTTTTGCATCCAGTCATGGTTCTGTGAAGACACCATGGCTAATTGGCATGGGTGGTGTTGGCGTACATGTACATGTGTGTAAGGTACATGTTCTACAAAAAATGTACCAAGGCAAACAAACACAAAGAAGTAAATGTACATGTGTATACATGTAAGCTAAAAGCACGCATTTAATTTTGATTAAGTTTTTGTATTGTCATATTATGGCCAAAACTATACATGTACAAATATAGTATGTTTTGAAAATAAAAGTCTGCCATAGCAGTTATTTCCTTCAGACACATACCGTACATTTTGCTGGCTTTGGTTGCCCACAAAAGTGTTTTTGTGGGGTTAAGTTTAACCCCACCGGTAACTCTCTACTATGTGAAAAATCATATTAAAACTGGAGGAATAACCTTAACAGTCCTGAATCCTCCAATTTCAATATGATTTTGCAAACCCCCTAGGGAGTTAAGGTCGGTTTTCACAGGGCACGCGAACGATTTTCGAAGGATGCGAATGTTGAAAAAATGGCAAAGTCCAACATTCGGAGAAGTTTTTCTCCTAATGTCTCCCGACAATGGAGTCGTAAACCATTATTGCGCAGTTTGTGCGAAGTTCTCACAACGTGTCTGTGAATGTCGTGTGTACCGTGACTGTACCTACTTGCCTACAATACAGAATTCACACAGAGTAGCAAATGCGCGAAATAGTCGTGCGCATAGGTCAAACGTGGTGTGGATTTGCCGCCAAATGTGCACCAAACGTTCGTGAGAATGTCTCAAGAAGTACGCAAAAAGTTTGCGGAAAGGTCGAGAAATAATCGGGCGAACTTCGCTTCTAGCGCGAGACATTCTCCAAATTGTCGGGGTCTGTTTGGGGATTGTACAAAGAGTTTGCGAACATCGCGCACGTCTTGAGTAGGTCCTGCGCATATGACAAAGCTTTTAAGACATTTTTGAGAACAAATCACGAGCAAAACACCACCCGGGATGCTGGAAACATTCGCAAGAAATTTCAAAAAAATTTTGAAACTCCCGCCGAACTAAAAACGACGCCCGCGAATAATTGACGATGCTTCCGAACCCCCGCGATGGTTTGGGGATCCTTTGCAGCATAAAATACAAATGTTGGACTTTGCCGTTTTTTGGACATTCGCATCCTTCGCAAATCGTTCGCGTGCCCCCTGAAAACCAACCTTTAGGGTTAATGGCTGTAGCACCATTTTGCCTATTAAATGTTATCCCCCTGTTAAGAGGTGTACTGGTACATATACCGGTGATTAGGTCTGTCCACTCTAACAATTACAACTGATAACTTTTATCAGTGAGACATGGGAGATGGATTTCAAATCAGGTTTTTTGCTAATTTTTGTTTTTTAGACATTCCTGTGTTATCCCTGATTGCACTGATAATTAAAGTAGGCTGATTCACTGGATATGCAGGAAGGATACATGAAGGATACTGTTCATAACATGGACGGACATTCTACTTTTTAGGGGCCCTTTTTCCGGTGAGCTGAGTACCTGTGGGTTGAGCAATGGGGACCAGCGAAGGGTCCATTGTATGTCCTTTTGATAACTTGGGATTGTTCTGTTTCATTTTCTCCCTGCAGTTTGATGTAGATGGCAACGGTTACGTCACGTCCAAGGAGCTGGGGGACGTCTTCCGTGCGGTGGGCATTGATCTGCCGGGTCACGAGATCAGAGAACTCATCAAGAAGGTTGACAAGGATAACGACAAAAGACTGGATTTGGCTGAGTTTTTCAGTGTAAGTGTGGGTCTATTGGACATTATCTCCATGTACAATGTATGTGGGTCTTTCCCAAAGAGCTATATTAAATTACTAGAGCGCTAACTCATGTACAAAGTAATGCCTGCTGGGTGCATCCATGTTTGTTCACAAACCTATAGAGAACTAGAAATTTTGTACGTACACTGTATGGTATTTTGTACGTCTATTTGCATATATCTGCGTTTGTATTCCATACCGGTGCGTCATCGAAGCCGATACGCCCAAAACCGAAATGTACGATCAGCAAATGAGCGTGTCATTTTGCTCTACGCAAACGGCGCAACGCGTGGACGTATCTGCTGCAGATTATTAACCGTGACTTTTTTTTAAACCTTCATGACGCACTTAAGTTGTTTGTGTACGTTCTACTTGGGCGTTGCATTTAGAGTATCTTTCAAACTTCAATCCATCTAATTTGATTATGTTCTACAAACACACAAATGAATTCAAAATGTCTGCACCCAGGACGGCTTCAAAGCGTCTCCGCGCCCAAGAATGAGGAGTTGGCGCTCTAGTATTTTAATATAGCTCTATGGTCTTTCCACACTAAAGGGATCCATACAAAAGTGTGACAAGGGATATGATATCCCCCACTTTAAAAAGGGGGGTTTGTTTTAGGGGGGGGGGGACCTTGTCCCCCGGCTGTCCCCCACCAATTGAACCCATGTTTGCTGTACACGCCAGTGTCCCCATTTCAAATCCCAACTTGCAGTTAATTGTAACCCATGATTCCCCATTGTGCAATTCCCACATGGATACATTTGATGAAAAAATACAACCAGTTGCATGTATTCAAAACTGTATTGGTAATATCGTCGCAGAGCTGACATACCGACGAATATATGCGAAAGTTTACCCTGTTTTGTGTAATTCACTTTTGAAGTTGGACATTTTTCTGGGCGTCGTATTTCACTCTGAATGTTTTGATAATAACCCTTTTCGCGTATATTCAAAATAAAATAGGAAACGTACATGTAGTTTATCCATCTAGGTTACTTATTTAATGAGAGAAGTTGTGCGATATGTTTTTATTTAATCGTAAACGTATTCGTCAGTTTGTCAAATAACAGAATCTCTAATAACCGGTTGTTCTTCACACTGTTTGTATGCTATTCGTCAGTTTGTAGGATCGCGCGCATGTCCGACAAACTGACGAATAACATTTGTTGGTACTTGGACATGTTGGAACGCACACCTTATATTAGCGAAATTCTGTTTTTTTCAATATGTCAAACTATGTATTTGTTATTATCTTATTATCTTAAAATCCAGACAAGAATTACCGGTAAGAATTCTGGCATAAATACTTGAAAGAGCAGCCTTTAAAAACCACAAAAATAACAAAATCTCAAAATTGCCAAAATGGTTGATTCGTCGGTATGTCAGCTCTGCGACGATATGAGTCAATCAAAATATACATTGTATGACTTGAAACTTTGCATGGCGGATGAGATAAATTATAAAGTTTGCGGGTAACACCATGTGGAAAGAAAACTCTTCTTGGAAGAAATGTGGTTAAATGAACCGGTTGGTTGAGTGTAGAACTCGTCGTTTCGGACAGTGTGCTCTGCCCGTCCTCAGGAGGTTGAGTGAAGTTCTGCACTCAACCAACCGGTTCTTTTCAGAACCACATTTCTTCCAAGAAGAGATTTCTTTCCACATGGTTTTCCCCGCAAACTTTATGATTTATCAAAATATAAATCATGTAGTTGCTGGCCTAATAACAGATCCAATATCAAATATCATGTTCCACTTTCTGTAGTATGCGTCATTGTACACAAGAATCCATATTTGTTTGTTTTTTCTGTGTGTCTGCAGTTATACTGTGATATCAAAAACAAAGATGTCGCTAAGACATTCCGGAAGGCCATCTCTAAGAAGGAGGGCATCTCAGCGTTGGCAGGAACGTCAGACACATCCGCCGAGGGGACCACTCACTCCGTTGCTGAAGCTGAGAAGGTTGCCTTCGCTAGTGAGTTCAGCTTTGTCTTAACCCTAACCCCCTAGGCCCTTGTTGCTTACAACCATCCTCAATCCTCCAAAATCCTCCAAAATTTTGCAACTGCGCCTAAATTTTTCAAAATTGTCAGACAGTCCTGCCTCAAAATGCATTCATCCTCAATCCTCCAAAATCCTCCTCATCCCAAAACTTTGCACTCGTGTTTAAATGAAGGATAACCAACGCCAAATCCTTCAAAATCATCAGACAGTCCTGCCTCAAAGTGCATTCATCCTCAATCCTCCAAAATCCTCTTGTGCTTCAATCACCATTCATCCTCAATCCTCCAAAATCCTCATGTGCTTCAATCACCATTCATCCTCAATCCTCCAGAATCCTCATTTGATTCAATCACCATTCATTCTCAATCCTCTAGAATCCTCCAAAACCGCCAGGAGGATTTTGGAGGAGTGAGGTGGGTTAGGGTTAAGGTCGACCTGCGATTTTGCTTGTGCGGCGACAGAACCGTCGACATGAAGCTCAAAAGTCATGCTCAGGTTACAAAACTCGTGGGATTATCGTGGAACAAGCAGCGTAATTGCATCCATGCTCATGTCACCCACGACGTGACGACGATTCACAATAAGATTAGATGATCCGGAAACTAGGGCTGAGCATTGGAACCAGGAACCGAGTGCCTGATGTTTAATGTCAGGAACCGGTTCTAGATTATGGGATCGGGTACCCGTAACCAACTTTACAAATTACTTAGTTACATGTACATGTCACACAATGAAAATGAAAGGTTTTAAAGTCATTTGTGGGGAATTTTTGAAATAACAACCAGGCCGCATGGGAAAACAAAACACATGTCACATTTAGGACGCTTGCCAAAGCTGCAGTTTACACCGTAAAGCTACAAAGCTCACTGTACATCTTTGAGTTTTGCTGTATTGATGCGCCAATGTGATAGTATTATCGTGCGGATCTTTGTAAATGATCGCAACAAATGGCATCATTTGGCGTTGGCTTCTTTAACCCTAACCCCCTAGGCTCTTGCACTAGAAAGTATACCAAACCTAACAAATTTCAACAGCTGCATACAGGTCTGTAAGCACTGGTACCAAAACTGCCAAACTCCAACAGGCCTTGTACGGGGAACAGTATTAAACCTGCCAAACTCCAACTGTTGGAGTTTGATTGACTTGGTATGGATGGGCCTATGTATTGTCGAGTGATTGGATAGGGATGGTACCAAACCTAACAAAATAAAGCAATATGTACATGCACATTTGACCACAAGCTGTGCTGAGGACCGTGGGTGAGCATACCCACGAAGAAATGCCAGTGAACTCCAACGTGTTCACAAATCTCATGCCCTTCTGCCCCGAACCTCACAAAATTCAACAGGGTCTCCCTGGGCCTTTGGTACCCAGTCAATCAAAGTCCAACACCAACTGGCCAGTGTTCAGTACCAACCCTGCCAAAATCAAGCAAAACCCGCTGTTGGAGCTTGATGGGCTCAGGGTTGTTAGGGTTAAGGGGTACTCCTGTTTTTTTCATTCGGGTAGCCGGTTCTGGTACTTCCCGTAAATGCCGCCCCCTACCAGATATGCGAATGACTTCGTAACTTCACACTGGTTGACTGTGATTGATGCCAACCTGTCGGGAACGCGTCCTGTCACGTCCTGGTGAAATCACTTTTTTCCCCCACCTGCCTTGATTGGCAACCATAGCCTTTCACTCTGTGACAAACGACGCCACAAAACCACAATTGAAATGGCGCAATTCTCTAAATAGACCCTTTCATAAAATTGGTCACTGCTCAGTCAACCGTGAATGTAAGGACAAGATCAGGGTGTCATTTTAAAGAGTAACTTCAACCCTAAGGCCAAAAAAACAACCAAGTCGGTCTCTGGTCAGCGCGCGCGTCGATTTTAATCATGCGCGTCGATCTTTTTTTTCTTCCAAAATGTTCCGCGGTAACTCCAACAGCGCCCTCTATTCCCGCACCTCCTCAATTTTTTTTTACCAAAGAGCACCAAGGAATGGGAAATTGCTCCAAGGCAAATGATCGAAAGCACCAAGGCAAATTATGGAGGACACCAATGTACATGAGGACACCAAAAAAGCAAAATACAATGTAGTACCCACCTTGTCTGTACTGTACAATCCAAGCTTGAAGAAAAAAAGAAAAAAAGAAAAAAAAAAAAAAACGCCGCGTGGCCGCGTCAATTTCGGAACTTTGGTCTGACCAGAGATCGAATATTTTTTTTTTTTGGCCTAACAGAGGATATCTCCCTTTGATTCACATGTGCCCTACTTCTGTTCCAATTAGCAATAATCCATGTGTCTTGGTTTCGTTTTTTTATCCACCCTGTATAGCCATACTGATTTAGTTCACTAGAACATTTTTAATTCGGCTTGCCTTGTCTTGTGTTATGTTTCTTCCAGATTTTATAAACAACAAGTTGAAACAAGAGGAGGAGTGCAAAGCTTACTTGCCGATCAACGAAAACAACGACGACATCTTCAAGAAAATAAATGATGGAATACTTCTGTGGTAAGACAGTAAATGTCCTTATGTTCAACTGCAAAGACATTTGTGGATAAATAATAGTGGATTTCTGGTTGATGTCTGAAAAAAGTGATATCATTTCTTAACATTATAGCAAGATAATCAACTTCTCAGTAGCGGACACTGTGGATGAACACGCCATTTAAGTACAAATCAGTGGATATTAATGGATATCCTGTCATTGTCTGAAAGTTTGTTCCATTTCTTAGCATTGCAGTCAGTTGATCGACCTCGCTGTAGGACTTTGTGGATGGCCACGCCATGAACCAAAGCAACATTTAGTGGATATTTTTAGTGGATATCTGGGCATTGTCTTAAAATTAATGCAATTTCTTTACATGGCAGCAAAATGATCAACATCTCTGTAGGTGATACTGTGAAAGAGCGAGCTACCGGTATCAGCAGCGACAATAATTAGTGGATAAAATTAGTGGATAAAATTAGTGGATATCTGGCCATTGTCTTAACATTGATCCCATTTCTGGACATTACCACTCATGACAGCAAGATGATCAGCCACTGTAGCAGACATGTGACGAATGAGCTATCAGCAGAGACAAGAATTAGTGGATAAATATTAGTGGATATCTGGAATTGATCCCATTTGTTGACATTACAGTAGGATGGTCAAACTCTTTGTAGCTGATACTGTGGATGAGCGATCCATCAACAAAAAGCCAAAATTAGTGGATAAACATTAGCGGATATCTGGTCATTGATAATTGGCATGACAGCAAGATGATTGAACCACTCTGTAGTGGACATTGTGGATGAGCACGCCATCAACCAAAAGTAGCAATTAGTGGATATCTGTTCATTGATAATTGATCTTATTTCTTGACATTGCAGCAAGATGATCAACCATTCCGTAGCGGACACCGTGGATGAGCGCGCCATCAACCGAGGCAAGAAGCTGAACAATGTCTACACCAAGCGCGAGAACCTGACTCTGGCCCTGAACTCGGCCCGCTCCATCGGCTGCAACATCGTCAACATCGGTGCTGGGGATCTGCTTCACGGGACGCCGCATTTGGTCCTTGGATTGCTCTGGCAAATCATCCGTGTAAGAATGTCAACTCTGATTCCTCCTTTTAAATGTTTAACAATGCTGCATGTGTGAGTGAACATTAAAAGGCATATATGATCAATTTGCATTGAACATTTTACTGATTGTTTTGATTTTTTTGAAATAACGATTTGTATGGACGACATTGTGTCGCTTGACGCATTTTTGGAAATGGCCCACTGTTATCGTTTTCTTCAAAATTACAGCATGCCAGAAAGAATAATTTCACAGGGAGTCTAGTGCAATAACTATCTTTAAGCCAAGTAAGATTTTAAACAATAATTTGACAGTTACATACAACTACAATTTTGTTTTGATATTTCCAGGTGGGTCTGTTCGCCAAGATCGATCTTCAACAGGTGCCGGGTTTGATGCGCTTGCTGAGGGAAGGCGAAGACATCAACACCCTGCTGTCCCTGTCTCCTGAGGAACTGCTGATCCGATGGGTCAACTATCACATGGAACAAGCTGGTAAATAGTATTCAACTATAACATGGCATACCGGTACATGTATGAGGGGAAGTAGGGTCAAATTACTATCACATGGGACAGGCTGGTAAATAGTGTTCAACTATAACATGGCATGCATGTGTGACAACATGTATGAGGAGATGTAGTGCAAAATGACAATCACATGGAACAAGCGGGTAAATAGTATTCAACTATAACATGTCACACATGTATGACAACACATATGAGGGGAAGTAGTGCACAATCACTATCACATGGGACAAGCTGGTAAATAGTATTCTACTATAACATGGCATACATGTATGACATGTATGAGGAGAAGAAGTGCAAAATGACTATCATATGGAACAAACTGGTAAATAGTATTCAAGTATAACATGGCACGTGTATGAGGGAAAGTAATTACTATCACACGGAACAAGCTGGTATATAGTATTCAACTATAACATGGGATGCATGTATGAGGGGATAATGTAAAGTTACTATCACATGGAACAAGCTGGTAAATAGTATTCATCTACAACATGGGATGCATGTATGAGGGATAATGTAAAATTACTATCACATGGAACAAGCTGGTAAATAGTATTCAACTATATTATGGCACATGTATGAGTGGAAGTAGTGCAAACTTACTATTACGGTACATGGAACAAGCTGGTAAATAGTATTCAACTTAAACATGGCACTTGTATGATGGGAAGTACATGAAGTGCAAAATTACTATCACATGTAACAAACGGTAAATACTATTCGACTATAACATGGCATATGTAGTAGGGGACGTAGTGCAAAATTTCTATCACATTGGACAGGTTTGTAGATGGTATTCAACTATAACATGGCACATGTATGAGGGGAAGTAGTGCAAAATGGAACACGCTGGTAAGTACAGTGTACTTAAATGTAGAATGACCATTTGACCTTTACAAAAACACTTCAGATATTGGAGCAAATGCGAGGGAACTCTCTGATCAGACATATGGGCAGGCTATTTATGAACCAATCAGACCACTAGCAAGTGAATGCAGTTACAATCGCAGACCATGGAGCAAATTATGGAATGTTCCAGTTGTTTTCTTAGCCTGTGTAACAAAAAAATGGAAGGCCAATTTTTTTTTTACGGTTGGTTTCGAATATTCGGTTTCCAGAATCCAAATTGAATAGTGGAATTCAAACTGAATTAAAAAAAATCTACATTTTAATCCCACAACTACACCACAACTCAGCAAAAATGGAGACAGGAAGAAACGACCAAATGGATATCAAAACAGGCTGCAAATACATGCATTTGCCAAGAAGGAAGGAAGTTATTGCTGGCACCAGTTCAGAAACTGTTTAGAGAGATAACTAGACTTATGTTTGCGGACAAACACAGGGCTGTTTTGGCATCTTTTTTTTGTGACATGTGACATGTGAACTTTCAAGTATAAGTTCCATCCAGGAAGGATGTGTAGTTCTGTTTATAATACATGGTGGCATATAAATATGCGATTATATTCTCATAGGGCTTTGAATTATGTCACTGTCACGTGATGACGTCATGATGTCGTCACATCAATTTTCATCTATAATCATCTATAAAAACCTTTCGCTAGAGAGCTCGAACATTTTATGACGTCATGTCCAGAGCTTTACTATAATTTACAGAAAGTGAGGCATATTTGAAACACTGTTTTATGGAGTCTGGTAGAAAGTTAATTTCCTTGTTTAGTTTTGCTTTTCCTGTTCAAAAACAAAAGCGCGATGGAAAGAGGAATTGAAGGGAGTCATACGTTTCCTGTTGGACAGGATGTTGGCTTGTTGAACCTCAAAAAAAAAAAATCCCAAATCTGAATCTCGAGAAATTTCCTTTTAAGGCTAAATAGGTCAGTGGTGACCAACAGGGAGAATTGTGCCAAAGCTGTTGTGTATATGTTTCAAAATAAGTCAAATACATTTTGAATTACCAAGATTGGGATTTACATTAAAACAATTTACACGAAAACAATTCTATATTCATTTGTTTCCAAAAACATTTAAACGAAACCCGAATTATAAGAAAGGGACCTATGGTCACGCAGTCTGCCTTTGAGTTAAACATACACAGTAAAATGTTTTTACGGTAGAACCTTTTCCGGCTGGACAAAAAGTTGAACATTGACAGGTGACATGGAAAAATCACTGTCTCGCACGTAAGTGCATATATTGTACGCAATGGTACCAGCGTACGTACCGCACCGTACCGTCCGCTAGCACATGGCTGGCTGGGAACGGTTAGCCTTGTGAACGACCCAGTGGATAAAATCATTATGTTGTGCGATTTTAGGAGGTTTCAGATTTAGTTGTACAAAATGCAATGCTTTAAAAATCATGATGATTATCTCGAGGATAGCGAAGAGAGCATTAACGAAACATTTCACTGGCATTTCTTGGAAGAGAAAGACGATAATGCCTGATTTTTCCCCACGTACGAATGCAAGTGGAGTAGTGGAGTTGTGTGGTTGAATCATGGACATGATTGAAGGCACCATGAACGGTGCCCTTTTCTTTCGAACTTTTTTCCTTGACTTTCTCAAGTAAGAAGTGAACTTCTTTGTTGATGACTCTATTACTCTAACCATAATTCAGTTCAGGCGTTTTTATGCAATGAAAACACTGACCAATCTTTTTTTCATTGTAAAGTTTTGTTTTGAATTGAAAATAAAGCAGGAGTTGGTGTCCGGAAATTGGGCATGAAGTGTATTGTACATGCATGTACATGTGTGTGATGCAGCGCGGCCCAGATTTCGGACACGTATTTTTGTTTGGCCTATTTTCCGATTTTTTGGCCATATGCCAGTTTCATCTCTGGCTTTACCAGGCTTGCCTTGTTTTGTTCTATTTTAGGAAACCCCCGTCGTATCAACAACTTTGGCGAAGACATCAAGGATTCTGAGGTCTACGTGACGTTGTTGAGGCAGATTGCGCCGAGAGAGCTGCAGCTGGATCATGTTAACCTGAATGCTGTAAGATACGTGTACAAATTTCATGTAATTTTTAGCCCTAACCCCCTAGGCCCTTTTGGCTAGGAGCCATCCTCAGTCTTGCAGAAATCCTCCGATTGCCACCATGTAAACATTGGATTCAGCCTCAATGCTCGAAAATCATCCGTTATTTCTTGAATTTGTTCAGTGGGGGTTGACTATAGCCTCAATCCTTCAGAATCCTCCAACAATCCCTGTTAATTTGTTGAGGCAGTGCTGATGACATTCGGAGGCAGTGTGGATGATATCAAGCATAATGCAAGGCTCAGTTATGCATGGCTGAACATAAACAATGCTGGGTACAGCCTACAAACTAGACACAATGCATCCTCTAAAATCAACTCAAGCACTCTATTGTTTTATGGATTCATCAGGGAATAGATACATTGTAATACGATGTATTATAATGTAATAAAATGTATTACAATGTAATAAAATGTATTACAATGTAATACAATGTATTACTATGTAATACAATGTAATACAATGTAATACAATGTAATACAATGTAATACAATGTAATGAATGTACAGGGCAAATCAGAATGATCTGGACCCAAACTAAAGAAAATATTAAAAATACCGGTATCTAGCAATTATCAAAACAAGTGCAAATGAGATGTGTTTTAGGCTAGTACAGTATTTTGGACATACATGTATTTGGTGAAAGTTTTATCCTTTGAACCATTTTTAAGAAAAGTGCTAGCAAAGAACACACGCTCAAAAAAAATCTGACCGTGGTTCCATGGTTCAACAAATTTATTGAAATTGTGTACTGATATGAAGCAGTGTAATAACAAATAGCAAATAAAAACCTACATGTAGTCATGGTGACTGTTTTGACACATTTAAAAAAGGCAAAACCAGTTCCATGTGCAGACTGAAAAATGAGCCACATCAATAAAAATAGCTTAACTCCTCACCACAGCCACTAATTTGTAAAATACAAAATTCCTGTGGAAGACAAGGTAATAACCATTCATATGAAACACTCACTTTTTCTCAGTATATTCTATTTGCCACAAACAAAATGGTGAATTTGGGTCCAGATCATTCTGACTCACCCTGTATTACAATGTAGTACAACGTAATACAATGTAATACAATGTAATACAATGTAGTACAATATACAGGCTGTTGAGTCTGTTCCCATGAACATATAATGAACAGTAATTTGAATTTTATATCAAGCGCAAAAAAAAACTAGAGGTCTATGTCTGTTTGCAACAGAACATAGGGCTTTTCCGCATTATGATTTTTTTTAATAAATAATATGCCCTGAATATTCATGAACATTTTGCATTTTGCATGTTGCGTTCGGGAGATATGGCTAAAAGGTCCAAACAAATAAATATTCATATAAAATCTCAGGATGACGTCATCATGACGTCACCTCATTTTTAATCTATAACACATCCTGGTATAGCCACATACCAAGTTTCAACCCAATCGGACTTACATTTCTGTAGATATAAGACTTCACAATATGTACGTAAATTTTCAAAAATCAATAAAAAAAAATAGGTGATGACGTCATCGTGACGTCATAGTCTAGGCAGAATTTTTTTATGAGGGTCTTCCTTGGCTGTAACTTTGATGACGATTCCAGATCGCCAAGTTATAAAAATGGTGGCTTGAAAACGTGTACAAATAAAAGTCAATGGGTTAAAAATCCAACAGCAGAAACACTGCACCTTTAAATACGTGATTTGCCTTTAAACTGAAACATTTTTATCAAATATTACTTGATATTCTGACTCTTGGGAATATTTTCAATCAAATGACAGGCGTAAAAAAAATACGATTTCTTGTTCCTTCTCATAGTAATTCTCAGCCGAAGTTCAGAACTACTCAGTAAGATATATCAGTGTTGTATAGGAAAAGACTTGTGGAGAAAGCTGTGTACAAGTCTATGAGAAAAATTAATTATTCATGAATCCATAATAAATCACTTGATGATGACGTCATCATGATGTCATAGTCTTGGCATAATTTTTGTATGAGGGTCTTTCTTGGCTGTAACTTTGTTGACGATTCCAGATCGCCAAGTTATGAAAATGGTGGCTTGAAAACGTTTCCATAATAAATCATTTGATGATGACGTCATCATGATGTCATAGTCTTGGCATAATTTTTGTATGAGGGTCTTTCTTGGCTGTAACTTTGTTGACGATTCCAGATCGCCAAGTTATGAAAATGGTGGATTGAAAACGTTAATAGGTTAAAAATCCCACAGCAGAAAAACTGCACCTTTAAATTAGTGATTTTCTTTTAAACTGAAACATTCTTATAAAATATTACTTGCTATTCTAACTCTTGGGAATATTTTCAATCAAATGGCAGGCGTAAAAAAAAAAAAATTCTTTTTCCTTCTCATAGTAATTCTCAGCCGAAGTTCAGAACTACTCATTAAGATATATCAGTGTTGTATAAGGAAAGACTTGTGGAGAAAGCTTGGTACAAAGTCTATGAGGAAAATTAATTATTCATAAATCCATAATAAATCACTTGATGACGTCACCATGACGTCACTCTTCGGGACACATCTTGGCTATAGGGACTATGCTTATGCCAACTTTCAATGATGTCTGACAAAGATTTATGCCAAAAGTGATATAATACGTCCCTGTCTATGCGCATGCATGAACATAAAATCTGTCAAAGTTAGCCGAAAATCTGCTAAAACGGTCACTGTGGACAGGATTTGACCTCAGCAACACCTGCGCTGCAGGCTGACTGACATACGATGTATGTGCCTATGTACAACGTACGTGCATGTACATGTACATGTACATTGTGGACGTCCTGTCCTGTGCATCTTTTGAAGCAGAGGTATTGTCAACGTGAGGTTTTAGGCGTGCGCAGGGTATGTTCGAGTTCGCTTAACGCCTCGAAACTTTGAAATGTTTTAGACCTACCCTTCAATCGACAATAAAGGTAAAAACAAATATAAAAACTGCCATGGTTGATTTTTCAGGAATATTCAAATGAAAAAGGGTCTTTTTATTATAACTTCCGGTCTGATGACGTCATTTGCCTAAAACTTCGCACACGTCTTAAGTGGGTCAAGGTCATTATATACATCAATATTTAGGCGATTCCGACAAACTTCGCCACAGACATCTATTCAAAATACATTTTTGCTAATTTTCAACCTGTCGGTAGAGGGCGGTCGAAGATTGCATGACGTCATCGGTAGATGATTTGAAGAATTCTATCGGCCAAGAGACTAACACTGTTAAAAGCAAGTTCATATCTATTACCACTTTCAAATAATAAGCCACTTCCGGTTTGGGCCTTTTTCGACCGGAAGCAAGGGTCACGTGATATCACGCACACTGAATGAAATAAAGACCTTAACCTGCTCTACCACTTGCCGGCAACAGAATGCTGCGGACGCGTACGGTTGATTTCTTATGCATTTTTAAATATTATAAGTGTCACAATTTAATTGCCTATAAATAAACACAGGATGACGTCATCATCACGTCATCATTCCACAATGTTGTTTGAATTAGGGTCTTTGCTTGGACAAAGATTGGTGTAAATGAATTACTGGCAAAGAGTCAAAAATGCCCTTTGAAAATCGACAATTATTTTTTTAATTTCTGTGTACAAAGTCTATGGGAAAAATTAAATATTCAAAAATCTATAATAAATTAGTCGATAACGTCACCATGACGTCAATCTTCGGGACACATCTTTGCTATAGGGGTTATGCTTATGCTAACTTTGAATGATGTATGACAAAGATTAATGCCAAAAGTGGCGTGTAGAATAAACGTGTACAAAGTTTATGGGGTTTTGGGAAAAAAGAAGAAGAGGAAGAAGAAGAAGAAGAAGAAGAAGAAGAAGAAGAAAGAAAAACTAGAGCTGTATGTCTGTTTGCAACAGAACACAGGGCTTTTCCGCATTATGATTTTTTTTTTTATCAATAATACATCCTTGACTATGCGCATGAATGAACATTTAATCTGTCAAAGTTAGCCTAATATCAGCTAAAACGGTCACAGTGGACAGGATTTGACCTCAGCCACACGTGCGCTGCAGGCTGACTGACATACGATGTATGTGCGTATGTACAATGTACGTGCATGTACATGTACATTGTGGACGCCCTGTGCATGTTTTAAAGCAGAGGTATTGTCAACCTGAAGTTTTAAGCGTGCGCAGGGTATGACCGAGTTAGCTTATTGCCTCAAAACTTTGAATTGTTTTGGACCTACCCTTAAATCGACAATTAAAGTAAAAACAAATATAAAAACTGCCATGGTTGATTTTTCAGGAATTTTCAAAGGAAAAAGGGTCTTTTCATTATAACTTCCGGTCTGATGACGTCATATGCCTAAAACTTCGCAAAAGTCTTAAGTGGGTCAAGGTCATCATATACACTAATATTTAGGCGATTCCGACAAACTTTGCCACAGACATCTATTCAAAATACATTTTTGAAAATGTTCAACCTGTCGCTAGAGGGCGCTCGAAAATTGCATGACATCATCGGTAGATGATTTGAAAAATACTATTAGCCAAGACACTAACACCGTTGAAAGCAAGTTCATATCTATTACCACTTTCAAATAATAAGCCACTTCCGGTTTTGGCCTTTTTCGACCGGAAGCAAGGGTCACGTGATTTCACGCACACTGAATGAAATAAAGACCTCAACCTATTCTACCACTTGCCAGCAAAAGAATGCTGCGGACGCGTATTGTTGATTTCTTATGCATTTTTAAATATTTAAAGTGTCACAATTTAATTGCCCATAAATAAACACCGGATGACGTCATCATGACGTCATCATTACACAATGTTGTTTTAATTAGGGTCTTAGCTTGGACAAAGATTGGTGTGAATGAATTACTGGCAAAGAGTCAAAAATTCCCTTTGAAAATCGACAATTTTTTTAAATTCCGTGTACAAAGTCTATGGGAAAAATTAAATATTCAAAAATCTATAATAAATTAGTCGATGACGTCACCATGACGTCAATCTTCGGGGCACATCTTTGCTATAGGGACTATGCTTATGCTAACTTTGAATGATGTCTGACAAAGATTAATGCCAAAAGTGGCGTGTAGAAAAAACGTGTACAAAGTCTATGGGATTTTGGCGACAAAAAGAAATAAAAAAAAAAAAAAAAAAAAAAATCAGAACAAAAAGAAAGGCTTTTTCGCAAAATTGCGAAAAAGCCAAAAATCAGAACAAAAAGAAGGACTTTTCCGCAACAATGCGGAAAAGCCAAAAACAATCAGTGAAAATCCCTTATCATGATTGCAGCTGAATTTTACAAATTCCAAACTGAATGAGATTTTTCCTCAACTAGTACGAAAATTCTGTAGATTTTCTTAAGATTTGGTTATAAAACATGACTGCACGCTTATTAACTTTTGTTGTGAAAGCGTGCTGTGTGTACGTATACTCTCGTGGGAAAGATGTGTGTTGTGTCTGGTTGTGAAATCATTGTATTTCAAACATGGCTTTCAAATCGAAACAAATGTTGGGCATTGTACACGTGCATGTCCTGTTCCTAATTTAAGTCTCTTGAACCGTAAAGGGCCCGTAAATGGTTAACTGGTTAAAGTATCCTAATGTGTGGTACATCATGAAAACAATATTTTTGGAATAGCAAACGGAATAATTGTCAAGAGATAGGGAGATAGCGCAACCCTTGGTTATAAACATTTCTCTAGACCCTTTGTTTACTTAAGCCGCAGTCAGTCATGGAATTAGAATTATATTTTGAAAGTACTACATGCAGAACTTCACTAAAACAATGGGTTTTGCTTTTTTTTTTACTGACCCTGTATGTTTTAAATTTGCAGTGCTAGTGGAAAGCAAATTTCCACATGCTTTGCTTATTGTGGACAATAAATTATCATATCATATCATAATTACATGTAAACACCTGGGTGTTTTTTTGGGGGGGGGGGGTTCGGGGGTTGGCGTTTATGCAGTTTTTTCCCCAAATATCATTTCCATTGAGGAATCTATTGAAAAAATAAAAAAAAATTTTTTTTTAATTTCCGAACTTTTTTATGCAAGACCTTTAAAAACACAGTTTTCTTCCTAAAATCATAGTCAAGGAGTGACCTATTAAAATGAATAAATAAACTTATGAAATGTTTCAAATATTTGTGTTTTTTGCAGGCTCCGCTAGTGAAGGCAGAAGCCATGTTGGAGAACGCCGACAAAATGAAATGCAGGCAGTTCGTGTCAGCACAGGTATGTGCAGGCTCATGGGTTGTTTGATTCATGCATACGTATGCAAGGCACATGACAGTACATAATCCTAAAGAGTGTTTAAAGAAGTAGTGTCCAGAAATTAAAAGTTTTGCAGATGGGCATTGAATAATATAATAATCTATGTTTAGAATATGACTAACCAAAGGTTTTTTGATAAGTCATACAAAGACAAACAATAAAAAAAAAATTGATTTAAATTTTAAAAAAAATCTGATTTTTAGGCCAAAAAAAAAAAATAATCGGTCTCTGGTCAGACCGAAGTTCCGGAATTGATGCGGCGACGCGTGTTTTTTTTTTTTTTGGGTGGCTTTTTTTTTTTCAAGCTTCAATTGTACAGACAAGGTGGGTACTATTTTGCTTTTTTGTGTCCTCATTATACATTGGTGTCCTCCATCATTTGCCTTGGTGCCCTTTATCATTTGCCTTGGTGCAATTTCCCCATTCCTTGGTGCTCCTTGGTACACAAATTTGAGGAGGTGTGGCAATAGAGGGCGCTGTTGTAGCTTCCGTGTTAATTTGAAAAAAAAAGGTTGACGCGCATGATTAAAATCGACGCGCGCGCTGACCAGAGACCGAGTATTATTTATTTTTGGCCTTAAAGAAAAGAAAAAAATTCATGATTTTTAACAAACCTGATTTTTAACAAATAAACACTGTGATTTGGTTACAACAATCAGTAGTCACCAATATTTGCAGCTCTATTTGGTTTAGGTGCATACTAATTTTCCAGATGCCACTATTTGTTGACAGCAAGTTTTTGTCGACGGCAGTTCATTGTCTCATCCTTTTAGCAGGTTAAAGCCCTACAGTTATAAAATACTTACTGAAAACACTAAGGCGGCCCATATTTTCAGTCGCTATACGCGAATTTTAAGCGCGCGCTTTTCGTGCAACTTTTGGTTGGCGCGACACGCAGTTGCAGCTGGCGTGTCTAAACTTCAACGGTTTGTTTTGGATATTCAAATATTCGGTTAAACGCAGTTTCCAATAATTGAATACAAAATTATTTGAAAGAGGAAATCCCTAAGCGCGAGGGAAGTAAACGAACGCGGTGTGAGAAAAGATACCACAACTTATCCCCGATTTCGTTTTAAACTGAAATGACTCCTGAACAATGCACTCATGCTGTTTTAGCAAGTTAGCATTGCAATTTGCATCTTCACTGTTTTATAGGATGTTGTCAATGGCAACCAGAAGTTGAACATGGCTTTCGTAGCCAACCTGTTCAACACCTACCCGGCCCTGGAGCCTCCAGATGAAGATTTTGAGGAAATTGAAGAAACACGAGAAGAGAAAAGTAAGTCCGAGGGTGTTTTCAATCAAATTTTTGCGGAAAAGCTTTTGTTTTTGTTCTGATTTTTTTTCTTTCTTTGTTTTGTTCTATCCCAAATCCCATAGACTTTGTGCACAATATTTCTGGTCTTGGCATTCATCTTTGTCATACATCAATCCAAGTTGCCATAGGCAAAGACCTTGGGGCAAAGTCATGTCTCACCAAGTGAAGTCTTGATGCGTCATCATGCATCATGTGATGTCATCATAAAGTCCTATAGCTAGAGAACTACATGTATATGTCCGATTGGATTGGAACTTTGTGTGAACCTAGTCAGGCATGTGTTGTAGATGAAAATTTATGTGACACCATGATGATGTCATTATGTATTTTCAGCATTTTGAACCAAGCAATACAAAATTCTAAAGTCTTTTTAGTTATTTGTTCAGTACGTCATGTTCATGTCTACGGAATTTTAAAAAAATTTGTGACTCATTTGATGTAGTGAAAATGGAATTTTGAGTAGAATAAGACATTGTCATGGAATATTGTTTGTAAATAAAATTGAACATTTCAACTGCAAATACACATGTACATGGACGAAAAAGGCATAAACTGATACAAAAATGTAATGTGGAAAAGCCCTATGTTCTGTTCATTGAACAGACATAGACCTCTAGTTATTTAGTTTTTTATTTATTTGTTAGGTTGAAAAACAAAATCCCGAATTTTAGAGTTGCCGCATGATTCTGAAGAAAGTTAGACAAAACTGTTTTCAAAATGGTGGGCGGAGGTGATTCTTGAAACAACCGTTTTGTGACCGAAAAGAAATTATACTCAAACAGTTGTCGTAAATGCTGTTATTATCTTCATCCGAAATTTTAACCCTTTAGTTTAACACTTTAGTCACTGTAGCCCCCAAAACTGCCCTGCCTATTTCTCACCGAGCACCCGAAACCGCCCAAGCACTCTGGTTTTATTGATTTTTCAATGAATAAATATAATGTAATACAATGTAATATAGGTGCTAATGGGTTAATACTGTGGCGCCCGAATCAATCCTGCCTATTACTCCCTGTAGCGCCGAAAACTTCCCGGGCACTCTATGGTTTTATTGATTTTTCAGTGAATAAACATAATAATGTAATACAATGTAGTATAGGTGCTAATGGGTTAATACTGTGACGCCTGAAACCATCCTGCCTATTACTCCCTGTAGCGCCCAAAACTTCCTGGGCACTCTATGGTTTTATTGATTTTTCAGTGAATAAATATAATGTAATACAATGTGGTATAGGTGCTAACGTGTTAATACTGTGGCGCCTGAAACCATCCTGCCTGTTACTCCCTGTAGCGCCCAAAACTTCCTGGGCACTCTATGGTTTTATTGATTTTTCAGTGAATAAATATAATGTAATACAATGTAATATAGGAGCTAATGGGTTAATACTGTGGCGCACGAAACCATCCTGCCTTTTACTCCCTGTTGCGCCCGAAACTTCCCGGGCACTCTATGGTTTTATTGATTCTTCAGTGAATAAACACAAAGTAATACAATGTAATACAATGTAGTACAGGTGCTAATGGGTTAAATTTGTAAGGTGCACCACGAAGTGACGGATCGTCTATGGACTTTGTGAACACATGATACGCCACTTCGTGGTGCGACTGATGAATTGTTTGAAAGTTTGCACAGCTACGCCAAGTTCTGTGGAATTGATGATGCATATATGCACAGCTGTGCAGCAAATTTATTGCACAAATCCTACGCGTTGCGTAAGTTGCGCACTGTTGCGTGAAATCGGCTGTTGGGCAGGGAAGCACCACTGCGCAAACCTGACTCATTCTGTTTGATCGACTTTCAGCTTTCAGGAATTGGATGAACAGTCTTGGCGTCAGCCCACATGTCAACCGACTTTTCACCGATCTCTGTAACGGGCTTGTCCTTCTACAGGTAAGTTACAGCCGTTCAATAGTATCAGTCATTTTGAATTTCGAGTTCTTTTTTCTCGAAAATGTGGGTGGGTCAAAGAAAACAATTGAAAAACCAAAATTCAGTTTCCAATAACAGAAAAGCTCACTTTGTCCACGTCCACTTGCAATACTATGCACACGAGTTCCAATTTATTTTTTTCGAACCTGTCCCCCATATAGAGACGGGTAGATTGTGCGATCCCTAAGTCCTTTTCACACTAGATCCTCTCAACCCGGGTTGAACTCGATCCTGGGTGAACACAGTGCCGCACAGGGTTGAGTTTTTGATTTTTCAACCCCGCGTTCAACCCCGCATCGGTTCACATTTGTTTCATGCAAACTGAGCAAATTTCCCTCGGTTACTACTGTTTTGAACCCTGGCGAGAGTTTTAACCTGGTCTGGAGCAGGGTTGAGTTCAACCAGGGGCCAAATCAATCTCGGGGTTGACACAGGGTTGGCGCGGGGTTGAAAACTTTCAAGTGTGAAACGCAGCATGTTTACAACCCTGCTTCAATGCGCGTCAACCCCGAGATTTGTCTAGTGTGAAAAGGCCTTTAGAGAACCATGGGGACGATTTTTATTTTAAGGTAACCATTGAAATAGACTTGATATCAAGGGCATGGGCATGTGTAGAAGGGCCTTGCAAAAGGAGCGGGGTACCAGGTTCACTTGAACCACGGCAACAACATGCCGTCGCTGAACTAGGCATACATGTATTTTAATTGTACTGAATAGCAAGTCAATGATAGACCTTTATCATGCTGCCACCATTTCAGTCGTGTTCCCTGTATCCAATAACAGTACTGAATGATAATGTTTTTGTGCAAAAGGAACCAGACTATTTTTCCTTCCAGCCTCGCTTTGGTCACGTTGATTTGAATTGGAAAAAATGAAGATGGCCGCATTATGATAATGGTCTATGGGGGTGGGTGGATGACCATTGTTGGGGAAAAAAGAAAAAGAGAATCACATAAAGAAAGAATACAAATTACAGAAATCACAACTACCCTCACGCTAAATCCATTACATTCCTAGAAAAGAAGTGACAACAAAGACAATTTTTCTTCAAAATAATTGCCATAACTCAACAAAAATGTCTTCGTTGTTGGAAATCTAATAAACTAAATTTGTGAAATATGTATCAAGATTTGCGGGTTTTTTTCCAGCAAGCTGTGAAAAAGGGGGAACTATAGAGACTGTAGTTTGTATATTTTTGTCTTTCCAGCTCATTGAGATCGTGAAAGGGGACCCGAGCTTCGTCGACCCCAAGCGTGTCAACAAAATGGACAAGCTGGCTAAGCCCGGCGGCAACATGAAGAAAGTGGAGAATTGCAACTACGCGGTGGAGCTCTGCAAGGGCATGAAGTTCTCCCTGGTCGGCATCGGTGGAAACGACATCTACGACGGGAACGATAAGCTGACGCTCGCGATTGTCTGGCAGCTGATGAGGGCGTACACGCTGCGTCTGCTGTCCAAGATCGGAACCCAGGATGGCAAGATCAGCGACAAAATTGTGGTGGATGCCGTCAACACAAAGGTATTATTAGTTATCCCACGAGCGCGAGTGGAACACGGATTAACCCTAACCCACCTCAGTCCAAAATCCTCCTGGCGGTTTTGGAGGATTCTAGAGGATTGAGGATGAATGGTGATTGAATCAAATGAGGATTCTAGAGGATTGAGGATGAATGGTGATTGAAGCACATGAGGATTCTAGAGGATTGAGGATGAATGGTGATTGAAGCACAAGAGGATTTTGGAGGATTGAGGATGAATGCATTTTGAGGCAGGACTGTCTGATGAATTTGAAGGATTTTGCGTTGGTTATCCTTCATTTAAACACGAGTGCAAAGTTTTGGGATGAGGAGGATTTTGGAGGATTGAGGATGAATGCATTTTGAGGCAGGACTGTCTGACAATTTTGAAAAATTTAGGCGGAGTTGCAAAATTTTTGAAAATTTTGGAGGATTTTGGAGGATTGAGGATGGTTGTAAGCAACAAGGGCCTAGGGGGTTAGGGTTAAAGTGTTGTTTATAGTGCATCTGTGTCCAATATTTCACAAAGAGTTTTGTTACATGGTGCAACTGTTAACTTAATGTTATTGTTGTTTTCACCCCATGCAAACCTTCAAATTGTATCTTACTTACGTACTTTGTTTCCTAGTTGGAGAGCGCTGGCAAGGCTTCCCGCATTACTAGTTTCCAAGACCCCTGCATTGCCGATAGCCGCGTCGTCCTGGAGCTGGTGGATGCCATCCGTGACAAATCTGTCAACTGGGGCAACTACAACGAATCTGCAAGCTCAGATGATGTAAGTCAGTTCAGTGTCCCTCGAGATACGGACCTAAAATGCCCCTACAACCAGCAAATTTAAAGGCACGTTGGGACATTTGCAATGACATGGAGTAGACATGTACCTACTGATTTAATGAGAAAATCATTACTCAAAGTGAAGACAGGACTGGTTCCAAATACCCTGTGAAATTATTCCGCTTGAAATGGTATCATTCGGAAGAAAACAATCATTGAAGGTGGTCTTAGAAACTTTAGAATCCAGTTGCAAGACTCCAAAAGTTGTGCATACATGTTCTCCGTTTTCTATAAATCTTTAGCATCCACCGAGCTGAAACTTCAACACATTAGTTGTTATGCACCCTTTTAAAAAAATTGGTGCAATTGAATGTGAGGACTTTGGAGGACTTTTGGGGACTTGGGATGTCTTTGGGGAACACTTGAGGACTTGTAAGGATTTGTGGGGTCTTTGGGGACCTGTTAGGATTTGTAAGGATTTGTGGGGTCTTTGGGGACCTGTGAGGACTTGTAAAGACTTGTTGGGACTTGTGAGGACTCATGGGAACTTGTGAGGACTTTTGGGGACTTGTGAGGACTCATGGGAACTTGTGATTTATTTGAGGTCTTTTGAGGACTTTTTTGACTCTTGGAGATGTGTGAAGATTTGTGGGGACTTTGGGAACTTTGGGACTTGTGATGTCTTTAGGGACTTTGAGGATTTGTGGGGACTTATGAAGACTTGTGAAGACTTGTGAGGACTCATGGGAACTTGGGAGGACGTTTGAGGACATGGAATGTCTTTTGAGGACGTGAGGATTTGTGGGGACTTAAGGGACTAGTGAATACTGGTGAAGACTCATGAAAACTTGTGAGGACTTTTACAGACTTGTGATGTTTTTGGGGACTTTGTGAGGAAGTGTGAGGATTTGTGGGGACTTGTGAGGTTTTTTAGGGACTTGTGATGTCTTTTGGGGACTTGTGAAGGACTTGTGGTAATATTGACTATAACACTGATAAATGACTATTCCATCTTGATTGTTCTGAATCTGTACAGGAGATGCTCGGGAACGCCAAGTACGCCCTGTCCATGGCGCGCAAGATCGGCGCGGCCGTTTACGCGCTCCCAGAAGACATTGTGGAGGTCAAGCCCAAGATGGTCATGACGGTGTTCGCGTGCCTCATTGCTGTAGCCAGGGCGGAGGAGGACAAGTAGGTCATAGTTCAAAGTTCAAAGGTCACTTAGGATTAGGGGAAAACAAAAGATAATGCTGTCATTTTTTTACAAAGGAATTTTGATAACTGCAGTTAGATTTCTTAAAATTCATGTCATCTGCATGGGCCAATGTTATTAATCCTGAGTGTGGAATTAAATGCTTTAATGAGGTGGAATTGAAGCATTTTGTGCATTTATTTGGAAGCTGATCATAATTTTGGCATATATATATACACACAGATTGGTTGATTAAGCAATAATATTGTTTAAAAAAAAACTACATTGAGCATAATAGTTTTTCTCTCATAATATCTAGGTATTGTAAAGTTTGCAAAAATACAAAATTTTTGAGTGTGTTGACAAGTTTGCCACTCTGAGATTTTGTTCTCCTTGAGATTGAAAATGACATAAGTAACAAGTATTTTTGTTTTTGTGAAGAGGGAACATGTACATTACATAACTTTTTTGCATTTATATTAATTTTTAATGATCGTAATTTTGTTGCTTTTTGCCGAACCATTGCATAAAAGCTCTGAAGTTTCTTATGCAGACATATAGCTTGCTTCAAAACTACATTCTTTCTTGATTAAAAAAAATGCCATGTCTGTTTCAGATTGAATTAAAAAAATTGTCTGATTTTTAGGGCCGGTGCGTACTTTACATGAATGCGAATTTAAATTGAATTTTATATCACAAATATACTTGCAAAGCGATCACGGGAATTGAAATGCGCTCAACGTTTGCAAAACTTGCCACAACATCAGTATAATTTGCTTGGCATCAAGAACATGCGTGAAGCAGCCTTTATTGTCAAAGTTGTTAAAAATGTAAGCATTTTCCAGAATACAATAAATTTTGTGTTACTGTAGTTTGTGATTAGCACTTACCATTTGCTTTCAAAAAAAAAAATAATGAAGTTACTTTTCCAAATGTTAGCGTTGTTTTTGTACTTGATTGATACATTTTGTGGAAATTTTAATGAGGTACGTTTATCTTGATGAGTAGTTGCTCTAAATAACAAAGTATACTATGGATCAAATTTATGGTAATTATTGTTTATCTGTAGGATAGTTTGTTGTAAAATTTGAATACGTCAAAGTTACTTTCACTATTTTAATGATTTGCTATTCTGGAGAATACGTTTTGAAAACAATTTGTCATTGATTATATTTAATACTTGTATGAAATAACGCTATATTTTGCAAAAGACATGTTCATAATTTGACATACTTAGAGTTTAGGACCAATATCTGCCGTTTAAAAGGAAAATTTTTACTTTGAATATCAAGACAAAAAAATTCTTTTTGCCAGCTGCATGATGCATTACTGAATATGTTGCCTAATCTAATACAGGTTGTCCCACAAAAAAACCTTACAGTCGAAAACCAATTAATAAAGGTATATTGCACATGGGTTTTGGAATATTTTCAAATTACCTCTTAAAGTCAGATAACCAATCTACCATACAAACTTTAGTTCATTCAAATTGATGCATTGGAACAAAAGCTATGCTTTATCAAACTCAAGGGTTGCAAATCGTCTTGGGCCACTTTCCTAGGAAGTCAGAAAGTGCAGTTAGAGAAACACACAAAGGATTTATTTCCTTTGTTCAAGAGTAACGTGTGACTTATTCGACTGGCTGCGATCTGTAAACTTGATAAATAAAAACAAGTACCAAGTGGTACAACCAACGGCAGCCGGGTAACGTGTGAAGACGGCTTTAATGCAGCACCGTACGTGTACCGAATGGGGCGTGATCTAATATGTAAAAATATGCACATTAGACACATGCGCATCAGTGTTTTCAAAAACCGGTCTTTGAATGCAAAGCTGTAATACTCGAGTTGCATGAATGCAATATATGGCCGGGTAAGCTGTCCACCCACCCACCCAACAACCAACATAAGCAGCGTTCACACCTGCTGGAAAAAGTGGCCCAAGTGGTTTTTCAAGTCCTGTATTGTGATTGCTGTATCTTTTGAACAAAACATCCTAATGAAACCAACGAAAATGCATTTGATTTTGAATACTACCCCCACTTTTTTGAAAACATGCCCGATTCGACTGTTATGTTTATTTGTGAGACAACCTGTATGTTTAATCTGAAGAGAGGGCAGATCTACGATTATCGTCGGAGCATTTCTATGTTTTTCTATGCCAATGTGTAAAACGTCTAACCATTGTGTTTATTGATACCTTGCTGATCGTGTTGACGTAAGCCAACTACATGTATTGGTAACTTTGATTGGAATTTAATAGTTGATGTTCATTGTGACCAAAAGCCTGTTACATATGGACCACATTCTCTTGAGTTCAGCAGCCTGCCTAGAAAAATATCCATTTTGCCAAATAACATTACAAAAACATTAATCATTCCGTTTTGAAAATCTGCACTACAAGAATTAAAAAAAACAATGCCTTTTTTTCAATAGCATTCCATTTCAATATTTTTGTGATACCGTAACAGACTTTTATATATTTGATACGGAGAACATTACATCAAGCCTTGTTAAATTTCCGACAGAAACTTTTCCTTGACACTAAATTCTGTCTGTATGTGTCTTTAATTTATTTTCAACAAGAACTTTTCCAACATGTTTCCGTTTTCACGGCACATTTTTGGAGTATCTCTCCATGTCCAGCCCAGTTCCTATAATTCGATGCTGCTTTCTTTTATTTTATATATATAATGTGTTAATCAATTTTTCTAAAGCAAAATATGTTCGCAATCGTTTCAAGTGGGATTTTTTTTTTATTCAGAAATGCATCTTGTCTTCCATTTTTTTGGTCTCGTGATTTAAAGGACTAAAATAATGTTCATGTTTGAAAAAACAAACCTCAGTTCTCTGTTGCTTATAATTTTGAGTAGTGATTTAGTAAGTTTGATTATCTTTCGCATGATGGAATAATTTGAGATTTGTAAATGATTACTTGAGTAGTACTGTGTGATTGGTTGTAGAATTTTTTTAATTTTGTGTCCTACATTTATTGGAGCCAATGAGCACAGAAATCAACTAAGCATAGAAGACGGGTTACCAGACCAAGTATCATTACATTTGAATTGCCTTTGGCTGGTTCTCATGTGACGTTTGTTAAGCCCAGAAAGCTGCTTAGAATAAAAAAAAATTAGCTTAGCAAAAACAAGGTACCAGCCAAAATGTCATTACATTTTAATTGCCTTTGACTGGTTCCCATCTGATTTTTTGCTAAGCACAGAAATCTGGTAAGCAAAGAAGACAGTTTACCAGACCAAGTGTCATTACATTTTAACTGCCTTTGGCCGGTTCCCATCCGATTTTTTTGCTAAGCTAAGAAAGCTGCTAAGCATAAAAAACATTAGTTTAGTAAAAGCAGGTTACCAACCAAAATGTCATTACAGTCGAATTGCCTTTGGCTGGTTCCCATCTGATTTTTACTCGGCACAGAAATCTGCTAAGCATAGAAGACGAGTTACCAACCAAAGTGTTATTACATTTTAATTTCCTTTAGCTGGTTCCCATCTGATTTGTGCTCAGCAATGAAAACACTTGCTTAGCCAAGACGGGTTACCAACCAAAATATCTTTAAATTTACATTACGTAACTGGTTCCCGGCAATACATTCTGCTTAGAAGCTTTACATGTATAAACATAAAATTGGGCCAAGCAGGTTTTGGTTTTCTTTTGATATTACTGCTATATGTTATAATGTTAAGCCGTGCACCTTGCGTAATATGCAGACTTCAAATTTGGTATGACTATGATAATGAAGAAAACGCCAGTACCATAAGCTATTTGTATAATTTTGCTAAAATTCAAAAGCTGTGAAAGTTAGGATATTAGATATATAAACTGTTGTATTTTTCAATAGGATTTTAATAGAAGTGCCTTGGGTTAATAATGAATACCATTCCGGGAGAAAGTTTTGGTCCAATATATTGCACTTACTAATTTGATATACCAGCCGATATACAATGTACATGTACTGCTTGAATTTACATTGCTTAATAACTTGTGATAGAATGCGTAAGATAGAGGCTGCGTTGATATAATGCTTTTACTGTACTTAGATTGCACTTCTCGATATTGAGTTACTGGGTTTTAGAGTTACGAGCAATATAAACCTATTAAAGATACCATATTTGCACATATTATTTTCCTGGTTTGCTTTTTAATCATCAGCAGGGTGCGACGCAATAAACTATTGTGCAGGCAACAGTGCAGAACTCGTACATATCTCATATCCAAGACCACTGGTACAGGTTAATCAATTGATACATAGTCTTTGTGTTTAGAACGCAAGGGATTGTGGGGGTGACGCACAGAACAAGCCATTTGCGAGTTAATCCAATGCTTTGCACGTTTTAACTTTGCCGTTCTCCAGACCAAAGAGACTCTTAGTATATCACGTGATTCGGGGCAAGCCTTATGCTAGCAACCCCCGGCTCCGGCATGGTCTGGTGTCTTAGTACCATTCTCACCCATTGTGAACAATATATTGGTGCTGAGCGTCTCTTACGTTACTATGTAAGAGCTTGCCCCAAATCATGTGATTAGCAACAGTGTCTTTGGTCTGGAGAAGTCAAAGTTAAAATGTGCCAAGCATTCTGAGCAAGTCAGTGTACCAGATTTTTTTTTTATTTCAATCTCAAAGGGTATAGGTCACTCGCAAATGGTTACTGGGGCCAGATCGAACCATTTGTAGCGCGATATGGGACGGAGGGAACCCCCCCCCCCCCTCATATTGTTACCAGAATCTCAGGAATTCTTTTGAGATATCTAGGGGGATGTGTTAGGTAACAATAGTCTAGGGTTTGCATCGGGTATAGGGAGATTGGGGGGGGGGGGGGGAGGGGTACCCCTCCGTCCCACATCGTCCTGCGTATAGACCAAATAACCCCGCCCACTGGGCACGTGTGAGTATGCGCGCGCACGTGTGGGCAACATCACTTGCTCCTCCCCTCTCAATCCGGTTCGTAAGCGTGACATCATTTCAACTAAAACCACTTAAACTTAATTTTCTGCTGAGACCAGTATGGGCACGCTATCAGTTCTATCACGGCGACGCTCGATCCCATTCAATGGCGAAAGCATTGTGCTAGCTATTGTGTCCGTCACCGGGCATTTGCTTTGTACAACAGCGTGCACAATTGTTTCCCGTTGATAGTCGGCGTGGAATATTTTAACATACAAATAGGCAGAACCATGGACTCGATGCAAGAGAACGACTTGCTTGTGACCTATTGAGGGCGCCCAAATTGACCCTAAACGGCGCCCTCTGTTGTTGGAAGTTGTGGTATAGGCCTTTCTATTGTTTGTAAACATTGGCGCCATTTTGTATGGGCTGCCGTAAGCGCATAAATTGAAGCCGTGGTTGGCAACATTTTTTTCCAAAAAAGTCCTCATAACGCCATCAACACACACAGTAAAAAGGCATATATTTTGTAGCTTTGTTGAAAATGTTGTATTTTCAAGTATCAAATAATATTTTGGGGATCTGTAATAACTCTTCTTCATTTTTGCAGTGTTGGACCTTCATAGTTTTGCAGGCCGTGGTTGTCAAAAATGCAGGTTGCCAAACAAGCACAGAATGGTCTATGAGCCCAATTCTGACTCATGGGGCGTAGCCACTGATCTCTATTAAACTGACTGGATAGCGCTTCGGGCCGTGGGGGTAAAGTCACTGGACGCCATTTTGACACTCCCTTTGACCACGTAAAAACATAATGCAAAGTTATGAAATAAAATTATACATTTGAACAATTATATTAACATGAGTAAAATAACACTGTGGGCAAAATGAATAAATAAAAAAGTGTTCGACGATCCAAAATCGATTCCTAAACCATTGTAATTCTGTGCTTTTTATATACGGATCCGTGCGTTGCAGGGCTTCTGAGGGAGCTTCAAAATGGCCGCCGCGTGTGTGCGAGGGCGTCACGGTCTTGTGCAGACGCATAATGGTCGAAGCGCTATCCAGTCAGTATAATAGAGATCAGTGGGCGTAGCTGAACTGCACCGTCCATTTTGCCTAGTCGACAGACTACTAAACGTTACATGATTGTGAGTGTGGTTCGGTCAAAATAATTCAGTCGGTTTATACGTCTGGAACTTTGCATGTTGCATAAAAAGTGGGAATAAATAAAAAAGAATTGGAAACAATTTTATAGTGCCGTACCGGTAGTCATTCATGTGGTGTGTGTCACGAACTTGCCGGTGTTGTGTGAAATTTGGCTTGTCACAGCGACTTGTCACTGTGGCTGTCCTAATTATGTTCAATTAGGCATGCGCATTACAACCAAGAGTCCGTATTTCATGGAGTCCAAATTTCTCAGTACACCGGATTTGGCCCGTAGCCCCGCCCACATTTTTTTCCGTAGGTGGGTGTAACCACTTTCGCAAATAATTTGAATCATTGCCAGACTCTCGTTCTCTTTTCCCCTTAAATTAAAATCATCTCAACGATACATTTGGAGAAGAAAAGTCGATGAAAAAGAGCATCCGGTGGTGGATTCGAACCAGGGCCTCTTTCTATCCATGGCTCATCTCGCTATCCATGCACATGGCTGCTGTGGTAGCTCGACGACAGTCGTTCTTGGAATTATTCGACTCAATAATAACAATATTGGTGATATTGTTTCACCCGCCTACGAAAAAAAATCACCCGCCTACCTTCGGTTCTTGTGCTTGCTTTCTCAGCGCTTGTGACCGAGTTTGATTAAGCTAAATAAGCTGTTTGCGAGTTAAATTTGAATAAAGTCTGGAACGCTGACTTAATCCAATGCAATGCAATGCACGTTTTAACATTGCATTCTCCCGACCAAAGAGACTGCCACTATATCACGTGATTCGGGGCAAGCCTTATGCTAGCAAGCAACCCCCAGCTCCGGCATGGTCTGGTGTCTGTGTGCCATTCTCACCCATCGTGAACAATGTATTGGTGCGTCTCTTACGTAATGCAAGAGCTTGCCCCGAATCATGTGATTAGCAACAGTGTCTTAGGTCTGGAGATTGAAAGTTAAAATGTGCCAAGCAATCTGAGCAAGTCAGTGCACCATATGTTTTTCAAATTTTAATCCCAAAGGGGATATGTCACCCGCAAATGGCTTATTGGTCATCTGACCAAAAGTCGTGATCGTATTGGTCAGCGCGCACTGTTTTGAGAGAGTGGGAGGGTCTACAATTTACCTATCGCCGTTTGCGAGTTAGCCACGCCCCTTAGACAACCCTTATCCCTATGGAGTTTTTGTTAGTCTCGGATTTTGCGCGTTCCGCGTGCATTTGTATATCACAACTGGACAATATTTTAGAGGCTGCGTTGACGCGATTCTACCGCGATAGGTCAATTATAAACGTCTTCAACAAGACATTCACCAAATAATTCACGCTTTGAAGCCAAGGTCTAATATTAATACACTTGCTTTTATATTCTTGACTACTCCGGGATATACTTACTTGGGTGAAGCATGTTTAATAGCGATCTATGTTTATCAAGACAAAATAATGGCTAAGGAATGTATGTAAAAAGAGGTCACTGAAAAAGCGTAAAAAATATACTCAAAAGATTCATAAAATAATAATGGAAGCCTTTTAAGATGACATGCAAAACACGACGATTGTTAACACTAAAATAATACCGATTACTGAAATGACTATATTTGTTTTGTAGGATTACTGAATGACTATTATTTGTTTTGTAGAATTACCTAGGGACTAGGGTACAACAACCTATGAAGGGACTTTAAACATTCGAACTACTCCGGGATGTACGCATTTAAAAAATGTTTAAAATAAAAAAGACAAGACTCATTCTGAAACTCTTCAAGGTTTTAGGAATACTGCATGTTGACACGAACCGCAAATTGTGTAGTTTACTTAATCATTCCGTTTGCTACAAGAAACCTAACATAATCTCATAACACATGACGTCATTGTTAGACATTAGTTGACGCTCCAGCATAAAAGGGAAAAAGTCAACACTGACCAAATCTATAAAAAAAAAAAAAACCATGTTCTTTTTTTGACATTGCAAAACGACCACATCTTATTATATTATTTCCCGTTTCTTGATCATATCACCTATTTGTTTCGTTACAAAACATGTCATATACCTTGGCTTTGATGAAAATGGATGTTGATAATGTTACATTTAACAATCGTTGACTGCTGTGTTGTGGGACATTACGTTTTGAACACTTCAGGGGCGCATAGCACCCGAGGCGAAGCCTCGGGTGCTTTACGCCCTGAGGGTGTTCAAAACGTCAATTCCCACTCACAACAGTCAACACTTGTTTTGTTATATACCTCTGTCTTGGATTCTTTGGACGTAAAAATTACGAAAACAAACAGCAGTAAACACGACAATCGTGATGACAATTGAACGTCAACTCACATGCATGTCGCGTGCTCGAAACAGCTGATCGTCTGCTAGTTTGCTGCTCCCACTCATGGTGAAAATAGCGTGGGTACCAACGATACAAGCGTTTCACACCGTACGCACAAAGCCAAAGTACGTGATATTCCACAGGAAGTGTGCCATGACTTTTCATAAACTTAACACGAGATCGTTCTAGGCCAATGAAAATACGGAATTCAAGACAGAGGTACAACAAGTCCAGTTGATGTAGTTTATCGACGATTATAGAAGATGATAAAAGTAAATCCGGACTAACATCTAGTTTTAAAGTTAAATATAATTCAAAATAAATAGGAAATATCTTACAAGTGGGTGTAGAACCGCAGAATACTTTGTTCTTAAACTCTTTATAAAATCTATAGTGATAAACATGCAAAAAAAATGAACAAATAATATACAATATTTCAATTGTTAGCCTTTGTTTCAGTCATGTTTCATGGCAGCACCCTTTAGATTTTACAAATTCTAGGCCTTCAATGGCATCCACTATTATATATCTCTTTATGTTATCTATATTGGACTATTAATTCTATTGACCAATCACAAGTGCGAATATCATGTTTAAGTAAACCATCTTGGTTTAATACCACACGACCGTACCCAGGGGTTATAAGTAGTATTTACCAGGCTGTTTTATGGCACTGTTGAGAACGAAGTGACGTTTATGAAGGGGACCAGGCTAACTAGGCACCAAATATCATATGAGCGTAAAAAGATCTGGTTTCCTGACGCACTGTTATTGTATCATCAAGTAACGGTACCTATTATGAAGATAGCGATTCTCCAGCATAAAATGAAATTGATGTTTCGAGAAAACTACTCTAATTTTTTTCATCTTTTGAACTACTCTACAGGCCTAAACGAACTACTTGGCAGTCACATAAATATCAGACCTAACATGCCAAAATAATAGTAGGCTATAATGCCATTTAGTGCCCTCTTTACTGAACAACATAGTGGGAAATAGATGAATATCCCATTGAATTGCGTATCAAGGCATCCATAAAGTTACAACTATAATGCACGAAACGTTTAAGTCTATTTCATGTAAATATTGATTGCATCAAAGCAAAACACGCAGATCAGGCTACATTTATTTTTTTTAAATAATAAATTATATATCAGTATCACTTCGGAAAAGTATTCGAAAGTAGAACTATTTACTAGTACCTACTGCTTTGTATATTCTTGCAATACTTCCCATAACAACTAATGTATAAATGATATATTCGTCGTAAACCTCACGGTTATAAACGCACAGGCACCAGATTTTTTGTTTAGATTTTCACGAAGATGCAATTTCTACCAAACGAATAGATGATACTTCAGGTATTATGTCATGATATTTTTTGTCAATATTATTTTTTGTACAACACTACCTCATACGTATTTATACAATGACACATAAAGATGATATCAGCGGAGTTTCAGTAAGCTCAGTTACGCGGGGTTTGGAGCATTCATGACACGAACGAATATCCTTTTACAAGCACACAATATTGGGCACATTCACTCAGGCCTAATTTTATACATCCGATATTTATCATTATTAGTATTAAGACATCAACTACACATGCATTGAATGACAGCACTTTGTAATACCAATATTACATTCAAGCCACGTTTAACAACGTTTCAATATTTTTTTCAATATTTATTCAATTGAAAATAAAGGCCACGACATATTGTATTGGGAATAACATTGAATTTTTCAACTTGCAAAAAGTATGCAAATTATGCGTAATTTTGATATATACTACTCTTACAGCTACTTCTATATTTATACAGTCAACATTGTCACTTTGACACTAATGGCGGACACAGTAATGCTTATTTTTTCAATTATTTTAATATATCATCTGCCAATTTGAACTTGTACAGAAAAAATACACAATGCTCTCCACTTCTTGACGACCTTTGCACCTCTTTATGTGACCTCTTTAGTTTTAACCTCTTTAAGTGACCTTTCAGTCTTTAGGTGACCTTTCACTGGTTTCAACTCTTAAACATTGTACATGTATATTACCTGGTACCAATCGCAGCCTCGTAACCAAGGACCAATCAGTTTCATAAAGCCGCTTTGCGCAGAAGTTTTCTGCGCACTTCTTCAATAACAGGAAATATTACCAGCCAAATTGCACAAGGCTATACTGCTTTTGGTTGGTTCCCTGCAAATAAATTGGCTAGTACACAGCTGTATGAAATTGGATCCAGAAAGCGAGATAACTATTATATTTTTTTTTTAATTCCCAGAGGGATTTTTGTTTCGATTCTTGCGTACCTTAGTTCCAAGAGCTCATTGGTGACTTCAAAATCAATGATAAAATTGTTGGACCCATCGTGACTACATACTACGCTCAATAGTTAGTGAAATTTATCCAAATTGATGCATGAGCTGTGCCCGTACTTCGCATCCATCAAAGGGACATTTCACATGTTCTTTGTCTAGACCCCAATCCCCCGTATACTACGCTGCTTGGTTCTACCTATCTACCAGTCTACGCCTCCTCTGCCGCCTTCTCTTCTGGCTTCTCTTCTGCGTCGGCAGCTGGGATGTCTTCACCCTCGGCTGTGATTGGCGCGGCTGCAGCAACGTTGTTCTCAACTGGGGCATCGTTATTCTCACCTGCTGCCTCTTCTGTTTTACCTGTACACAAAAAAATGGAGAGGGGTAAAAACAACGAAATACCGGACTCACTCTTTGAAACTACTTACTACGTTTCGTCCGACACCGTTGGGTATTATCGTCAGGCAACTGATGACCCGGTAGACTTGTCATGTGATGGAAGGCTAGTCATATCCTGAACGGCCCGATCCCACATTATAGATAAATTGAGAAGTAAACCGTCTTTCTGCTCAGTTAGTGTTGTTCCATCCTTACCCAGATGGCGTCTTTGATTCCTTTTTTTCTAGAATCACTACATCCTTATATGTTCTGAACTACGACCAGATTCCTAAAGACGCAGGAAAAACGGCAGAGTTCTGCTCGTTAGTAGGCATGCCACTGAGCCTCCTGTATTGTCGGGTTGCTTTTGGTTTTCAACAACTGCTTTGTTTCCTGTTCTGGTTGCTTTAGTTTTCAACAACTGCTTTGTTTCCTGTCTTAATTGGTTGCTTTTGGTTTTCAACAACTGCTTTGTTTCCTGTCTTGGTTGCTTTGGTTTTTAACAACTGTTTTGTTTCCTCACTTAACAATGGCTCACTTCAATCCTTTTTGCCACATACAATACCGCAAACAATGTTGGACCATAGACAAAGTCGGGCCTTTAGACGGAGAACATATTTCGTCAAATGGATATGGGTCTTGATGTTAGCCCTATATAGTGGTTGCAGGGCCCAATTGAAATTGACGCTGCTTTAGCACACGAGTTTCTGCTATAACCGTCCATTTCCCGGAGACTGTAAGCAATATGCCACAGCAAGAAGCCGCGGTACACTATACTACCCGAGCAGAGAAAACCTTAGTGAAGTAATAGGATTTTTGGAGGTTTTAATCTACAAGGTAATTAACTTCATGCGGGCACCCCCGTTTAGCTGGAAAATGATGCAGAAAAGAGTTAGTAGTCAAGTCAAAAAAAGTCTACCACAGTACCATTCAGTTCACAGGCAACAGGGGATAAACAACTTACAAAGGTCTGTCACTCTGTCAGCTCATTGGAATCGGGATTGTGACTTGCCTTCAGACTGATGGAATTGTTTTCTTTTGAATTGGTGAATCTCTTCCTGTCCTTTCATGTTTTTGTTTGTTTCTGTTCACACAATAATTGTCCTTGTACCCCTTTATCTTTTGTGGCTGTTGGCTTTGGGCGATTGCCTTATAAAAAAAAGGAGAAAAAAGAAAGAAAGACACCAACCTTCCTCTGGCTTGGACTCTGGGTTTTCCTCTGTCTTTTCCTCCTTTGGCGTCTCATTCTCTTCCTTCTTCTCTGGTTCCTTGGGGGCTGTGGTCTTCTTCCAGTACTAAAGAAATGTGGAAAACCAATACGTTAGTTTTACAAACAAAGAAGCAGGCAAGCAAGTCAGGAAGCACCCAGTCAACAAACCACCAGCCAACCAATCGGACAGCAAACCAGCTTATAACCAGCAAACTAGCTTACTAGCCAGTCGAACTTAGCAGACAAGCGAATCAAGAAGCACCCAGTCGACTAACCAGCTAGCCGACCACTGACTACCAGTTAACCAGCAATTCAGCTTACTAGCCAATCGAATTAACCGGGCAAGTAGGCAGGCAAATCGACAAACAGCTCGTCAACTAACTAGCCAGCCAACCAACCGTGCACCACTTTATCAGCAAACCCACATACTAACCAGTTGAGCAATAGCAGGCAAGTAGGCAAGCAAATCAAGACTGAAAGCAGTTTATAGTCAACCAACCAGCCAGCCAACCAACAGGTCACCAGATAAACCAGCAATCAGCTTACTAGACAGTCGAGCTAACCAGGCAGCAAATCCGAATCAGCCAGTCAACTAAACCAGCTAGTCAACCAGCTAACCAGGCAGCAAATCCGAATCAGCCAGTCAACTAAACCAGCTAGTCAACCAACCAGCCACCAGTTAACCAGCAATCATCTAACTTACCAATAGACCATTTAGCCAACCAGCCATTTGACCAAAACGTAAACTGATCTGTCACACGCTGTTGTTGTAACCGGCTAACCAATTTAACCAAGCAGTCAGTTAACCTGAAAACATAAGCCAGCTAGCCAGTCAGCCGACCAGACGGCCGCCAGATAATCCATCGAGGTAGCTATAGAACCATCAGACCTTCCATTCAACTATCCCATCAAACAACGTGACCTGCTATATATAGCTGGTCACCAGGTTATCAGCCAAACAGCCCTTCAGAAAACCAACCAGCTAACCAGCCAACCAATCAATCAGAAATCAGCCAATGCAGTCAGCCACGCATCCAGCCGACAACGTATTCAGCCTGCCAAAAAGCATGCCAAACAGCCAGCCATTGACTAGCCAACCAGCCAGTTAGCCAACCAGTCAGCCAACCAGCTCAGCCAGCCAGCGAGCTCAGCTAGCCAACCATCATGTAGCCACTCAGCCAGCCGGCCAGCCCGCCAGCCAGCCGAGCCGGTCAGCCTGCAAGCGCTTCGCAAGCCAGCCAGCCAACCAACCAACCACCCAACCAGCCAACCAATCAGGGAGCCAGCCAGCCAGCCAGCCGGTTGGGGAGTCAGCCAGCTAGACAGTCAGCCAACCAGCCAGTTAACTAACAAATCAACCAACCTACCTGCTGCAGGTCATCACAAAGCGAGACTGGATATCCAACAGTCACTCTGTTGACGATCATCTTCAAGGCCCAGCCCTTCAGACCGATCTGACTGAGCCACGTGACCCTCGTCGACGTGTCGTCGCCATCTTTAGGCCTGATAACCAATCCCATTATCCCAACATCAGCTCTGAAAGTTAAAAGTCAAAGTTGAAAGATCAGTTTCGAGGCACTTTTATGTATTGTAAAGTGAAGGACGACAGATGCCCCAGTAGTCATTTTGCGTGTACTGGAGCAGCGCAGCTCTACTATAAAATTCAATAAATATGTAAACATGTAATTTTACATTAGTAAAGATTCGCGTCTGTTTGAACCCCAATATGGCGTCGTTACAGCGCCCTAATGTGCTAAAAATTATCATATGAATACATTTATGTACATTTTGAGTTCTTGTCATTAGCCTTATAGGTTGCAGACCAGTAAATCGGTCCGAAATTGCCTACGCCGGCCAAATCACGATTTGCATGCCCTCAAAATCTTCAGTATTTGAGCATGCTGTATGTGGGCCATGAACTTGAGGGTTTGTAAAACATATGAGTGCAAGCCGTGCACAGGACTGTGAGCTTGTAGTTCCGTTCAATTTGGATGAAATTGGGGCCCTAAAAGCGCTCTATTTTGCAATGGAGTGTAGGCATCGTTTTTCAAAATGGCGATGGGCTTCAGGACTTTTTTTTAGGGGTGATCATCTTCGGACGGAAACTTCTCATAAAAATCATCAGTTGACTCCCCAAAAATTAAAAAGAAAATTAAAGATGATGAAATAAGCTCTAATTTGATGTGTGTCTCGAACACCTTGGGGAGTTGTGAGTATTTTTCCCGAATTTCTGAAGTGGGAGCATTTACCATTGGGGTCTATGGAAGTTTATTTACTGGTCTGTAACCTATAAGATAAATATGGTAGACACAATAATGAGGGCGCTGTTTGGATTTTTGAGATATTTGAGATGCTTGTTGGCAGCATACGGTCCTTTTCAATTGTTGGCGTCATCAAGGTAAATGTGCACATTTTCGAAATGAAGCAAACACTAGAAAAGGATAATAAATATAACAGGACCGATGTGTTTGCTGCCACGTGCAAGTCTGCCACTAGGTGCATCTCTCTAAATGCTAACGCCAAACCATACCTGATGGTCCCTTTGGCTGGGGGTTTGTTAGGGTGGTTGCAGCTCTTGTACAAGATCACGTGACGATTCTGTTCCTCGTCTGAACGCACCTGCATGCACTGCACGATGTCCCGATCGTCACAGGCCATCGGCATTTTGATCACGCTGTGGTGAAATGTATTCAAAGAAAAAACTGACCATGACACTCTTTGCAAAGGGCGCCCTCACTGAGAACAGGTCCTCGGTGAGGGCGCTCTGTACAAGAAGTTTATTGAAATACCTTATAGACCTCTAAGAGAAATGATTGCTATATCCCATTCAGAGACGCCTCTTGTAGATTGGCTTGTGAATAAAAAAATGTGCGTAAGAACAACACATTGAATTATTCAATGGTGTGACATTGTGATTTCTTCATTTGAGACAAGTCTATGGGGTCTCAAAATGGGTAAAACTAAAGAGAAAAATCAAAGGACGTTTTGACCGGAGCCAAGTTTACCCAGGCAGTTGGTAATTGGCTTAGGTTTTACCTGAGGGCAATAGCGGTATGCATATATCAACAAAACTAACAATTAAAGGCATTGCCTGTTTAACTGGCTGCTACGCATTGAAGGTCTATAGCCTGTAGTCACATTAAAGCTGGCATCGTGGATCCAATGTTTAGCTGTAGTCTATTTTAACAGAGGTTTTATCAAGCGTGCACGAAAATGAGATCTTGGGCGGTTGCAAAACCAGACTCTTTAATAATGCTTGAATTTTGCATGGAGAACAAGATGACTATCTTAAATCCTTAATTTAAGCCAAGAAAATACAATATTATGACCATAAAAAAATGACCATATTCCATCTCACTTGCACGTCACTCAAACTAAACGTATTGCTGTCCCCTTTAATCTGATACATTTTGAGGTTGCGATGCTTGTAGTTCTAAAGATGTCATAAATTTCCCTGTTTTCAGCCGTGTCCAATTTTGCGTGGCATTGCCCATAACTTATTCACAATGAGCACCGCGTTGATTCGTATTGCATCAAAAATGCGTAAGAAAATTGCTTTTTATCCCCAAAAATACTGTTAAAAACCTCAAAGTTAACACAAATGAAAAAAAAAATGAAACAAAAATTGGACCCACGAATTACAAGACTAGTGCGTGAGGTTGCTGAGGTCGTTTTTGAATGATAACAACGCTTTAAGGATTAAAACTAAAAGAGGGGCCTGTAACTTCACAATCGCCAAAGTCTCTTTATTATTAAATTCTCTTTATTATTTTCCATCAGAACCCTACACCTGTAATATTATGTCCGTGTTGCGGCATTAGGCATTATTTCCAATGCCCTGGATATTACTATTGGGTCGGGTATCATAATCCAAACAGATTATGCACGTATTCATGTCTGGATTTCAGTCATCAGTAACTAATTATCTTGTGGACGTTGATACAGCTACGCGACAGATATCATTAAATTGTATGCATAATTCTACACAGGTGTCCGGCGCATAGTATTATCGCTCTGTCTAACAAAATGAGTCAATACAAAATATAGAAAAATGCAAAAAGATAACATCTGCCAGTTTTATCTTGCCTATAGCACAAAAAAAATCAACAAACTATCGTAGCGCTACTGACAGTTTACTCACACTGTTCCCATGGACACCAGTTGAAATTTCCAGGTGTTTTTATGGTCGTGTTTAAGTGCAATACCAAACCAATATTGTATGCATTTATTTATTCACAAAAAAAACCCGTGAGGGAATAAAGGGTTATGAGTATTGGCTAATAATAAGCTTTCCTGTTCTTTTCCTGTGCATAAATTATGCAAATTTAGATCATAATTATGCAACTTTATTCACCAGTCGGCCATATTAATTGAAAGCGAGGTAAACTCTTCATTTTTGGAACTTGCGAGTAGAAATAAAAACAATGAAATAAATGTTCATTATAAATTAATACCAGTCTGCTCTGATGAACAATTTAACATTTGTGATCAAACATACACTAATGTTTGCAACAAAAGTGCACAGATGTTAACCTTTATTTTTTTTTTTTTGGGGGGGAGGGGGTTCGTTTTTGTGGAAACAACTGCAATTGATCACTTGTTTTTCCATAGGCGCAGGAGGACATTCTTATTGATTTGATATTTAAACGTCGATCGAAATGTTCGTCCAATGCAATTCAGAGGTACAATATTTGAAACATTTTGTGCTATTGATGATTTTTTTAAAACCTGTAATCGTTGATGGAACAATTAAACTAAAGAAGTCATAAACCTCGACGCTGATTGAAAATCATATTAAAATTTGAGGATTCGGGACTGTTAAGGGTTAAATGTAGTGGATACCATTTGCAAACATTCAAATTATGAATTGTCAAAATATCATGAAATATCCTACTTGATTGATTGTTAATACATGTGTAATAATCAAGTATCCTGTGTAATCGTTGCGCCTATGATGTCGTTTTACGAGAAAGGAGGAATTACCATCGTTTCCTCGCGATAAGGACTAAACCATCGCTATTATGCTTTGTTACACCTCTGTCTTGAATACTGTATTTTCATTGGCCTAGAACGATCACGTGTTAAGTTCATAAAAAGTCATGGCACACTCCCTGTGGGATATCACGTGCGTGATTCAGTGACAGGGAGTGTGCTATGACTTTGTACGTACGGTACGTATGTGAAACGCTTGTATCGTTGGTACCCACGCTATTTTTACAATGTTTTCACACATGAGTGGAAGCAGCGAACTGGCAGACGATCAGCTGTTTCGAGCACGGTACGCGACATGCATGATTGTTGTGTTTACTGTTGTTTGTTTTCGTGTTTTCAAAGTCCAAAGAATCCGAGAGAGAGGTATAAAAATCAGTTGCATAACAAAGGCAAGGTTAATTGCTTCGAGAAAAATGAAGATATATTTCCACAGTTTTCTCAAACAATAGGATATCTACTGAGCTGACAGTTTGACAGTTCAGTTTTTTTTAATAGCCATCTGCAGATTTATTGTATTGTTACTCCTTGAATTGGCAACACATCTGTTGCAAATGGTGTCCATTATACCTTTAAGAAAACACACTAATGGATAACTTACGTATAGACAATCTTAAAGTCATCCCTGTCCTCTAGGATCTCGTAGTTAGGCGTCTTCCGGCTCCACTTCTTCCTGAGCTCTGCGTCCGTGAAAAACTCAAGAACTAAGGTCGGAAAAACAAAATGAAACAAAAATCCGGTCAACTTTTAGTAAAATTGCTTTAAACAAATAATTAACATAATCGAAACATTCATTTCCTAAGCGTGGAAAAAATGAGAAGTTTAACCAGAAAAAGGTATCTAAAGGGCATAATAAAGGCCAGTAGAAGTGGCGAAACTAAAAACCAAAAAAAAAAAACATAGCTTGTGTGAGGCTTGCCAAATAGACCTTATTCACGAGGAAGCCATTTTCGATCGTGTTCCCTGAATCTATTTCACATATTGTACTGTTGAATGAAATGGTGCCAGACTATTTTATGATTGGATCGAGTGCGTTCCAAGCCTCACTTTCGATTTTTTTTTTTAATGTGGCTTAAGACATTGAAGTATGTTTAATCACAAATTTTTAATTATTCATCAGAGCAGAATGGTATTAATTTGTAAGTAACTCTTATTTCATTGCTTTCATTTCTACTTACAAGTTCCAAAAATGAATAGTCAGAATCCAAATATGCTTGCACATCATAGACCCTTGCTGTGCAAGTGAATATTCCATAGACTAGGTTTAGGAAGGGGTGGAGAATAAATTAGGCAAACACTTTCGATGGCTATGGGTGTGCAAATCGAAAGTTCACGACAATTCTTTGATCGATTTTACTGATAAATAAGAAACATATATGAAACACCTTCGGCTCGGGCCATTATCCGCATCCAGGCTCCTAGCTGGTTGTAAACGTACTTGTTTAATACCGCCCAAGCACATATGTATTCCCTAACTGATAATTAAAACACAGTATGAACAATGCACAATGGTTCTTTGTTTTCATTTGAAAACAAAATCTACGAAATGATACGAAGGCGCTATACAAGTACATGTAAACAGAATACCAATAAGAATGGTGACGAAGTCTTCCCAATTTTTGTTATATAACTTTAGACTTCAAAGGCGCCAATAATATTCGAGTAATGAGCTTCTTACCTTTATCGCATGGGATACCGTTGAACTCCATATATGCCTAGACAGAAAAAAGAAGAAGAAAATATAAGAATTACTCACGTCATTATTGGATAGTTTTCAATGGTTGATGAACATTGTAATAACATCTAGAATGTATTAGTCACCAAATCACCATGATCGCCAAACCAGCCTTCATTAATGTTATATCACATTTCCAACATCTGTTCCGTTATCACTCTATTATAATGTGCACCACATTTTCTTGAATATAGCTACATACTGAAAGAGTTTTTAACAGATTATAGACTGTTTGCACTGCAGTGATCATTGAGGTGTGGGCTTTTGTTCAACAGGGATACGCATGAGTGACCTCTTGTGCATCCATTGTTAATGAATTAACATAACAAAACACACCTCAAAGATGGCGGCTGAATGCAATCTATCTATGGTAAGGTTAGTAAGAAATGTCTCCAGAAGACGGTCAGAGCATAATGACCGGAACGTCGAGTTTACCCCTCTAGTTCTTTTCAGAACCATTCTCTTAGTTTGAGAAATTATTCCCACATGGTGTTTCCCCAAACCTCTCATTCATGAGTATCTCCACCATGCAAAGCCTCAAATCTTACTTAAGAAATGTCAGTACTTTCTCTTTTAAAGGGCAATAGTTGAGTTAGTACCTTTCTTCATAAATTTCACCTTTTTTTCCTTTAAAGATGTACTCTCCATTCTCTACAACAAGTTGGACTTTTTTCTTTTCAAAATTGGGAGCATGGATGTTTACTTAAAGGAAGAAAAATATCAATTTCGCCGTTTTCGGCGTTCGCTACCATCTAAAAAGATGTTTTATACTTTTGTGGCTTTTGTGTACAAAACGAGCAAACTGGTTCCTGCTACCTATCATGATTGATTCTGATGGGGGTCGGAAACCAGTCCATCCTGCAGAAACTTATTATTAAATTATTGTTATTTTTTCGGTTTGATGTCTCGTTCCAAAACGAACTTACTATGGTAATGCTACAAAAAATACCAACTATACAACAATTCTTCGTGGTGAAAATCGAAAATACTACGGACAGTACATCTTTAACAATACATAAAATAAGAACGGCGACTGTAAACTGATACTTTTGTCACAAGTTCTGAACTCAGAACATGAGAAAGCAATTTCATTGCACTGCCTCTCGTTTTTTTTTCTGTGAAACGCATTAAGTTTCAATCTCATTTGCTGAGTCACTCTACTGTCATGGCCACCAAGGCCACTAGGTCACGTGACTAACACTGATGCACGCTTTCCAATCAACCTACGCTCTTAGTCAGTTGGTCATATTCGGCAACAGATATTGACTTTTCTTTGGCGATGAATCATTGATAGTTTCCCACTAGAGTGAGAATTTGCATGAACAAATAATTTCCGTCGTTTAAAAACCAATAGACTTCACGAGTCGGCCATATTAAACTGAAAGCGAGGTAAACCCTTCATGTTTGGAACTTGCAAGTAGAAATGAAAGCAACGACATAAAAGTTCATTACAACATAATACCAGTCTGCTCTGAAGAATAATATAAAATGTTTCATTAAACATATTCCAATGTTTTAAGCCACATTTAAATTAAAAAAAAAATATGAAAGTGAGGCGTGGAACGTACTTCAATCATAAAATAGTCTGGCACCATCCCATTCAACAGTTTACAATTTATAAAATAGATTCAGGGAACACGATCGAAAATGGCTTCCTAGCGAATAAGGTCTATTATCATAAACTCTCTCATTGTGTTCAAGGCACAGAGGAACTTTGGTACATGTAGTTACCCAGAAACGCACCTACACATTTATTGAGGACATTCGCGCTCCAGTGAAGATAGGGCTGCTATCAAATTCACAGTGAAATAATTTCTAATAGTGGGCCAGATAGGGGAAATATTTGGGGGAATTGTGCCTTTAGTGATACAAGCGAGGCATTTGGCACACAGTCAGAGTATGTCTTAAAAAAGATATTTGGCTTTAGGGCAATCACAAATTTGTCATTTGAGAAAATATAGGTAGAATAACATGCAATGTTCAAAATTTAAGAAACGGCTGCCATTGCTTGTTAAGTCTACTATATAGTTATACTTTTCTTAAAGGACAAATCTGCGATGGCCGTATAACCAAATGATTATCTTTCTCGTGACATACTCCGTGTGCCAAATTCCATTTGTATTATCAAAGTCACAATCCCATCACCTGCCGTGCCAGTATGTTTTCTCTGTTTTATCAAAGTTTAGAGAAGCCATCGAGCTAAAGCTTCAACAGGTTAGATGTTATACACCCTTAAGATTTTGAGCAATCTCTTTCTTCCACATGACAAAAATGCACGAAGAGAAACCATCCTAGTTACATTCAAATATATCAATTTAAATACCTAGTAGTTTAAAACAATTTCCGATATCTTGAAAACAAGTGCGAGTACATCATAAGATCTAGCCGTCTTTTTACATGACAGTCTTGCATGAAAGTCTTGCATGAAATCAATCAAAATGATTCCCACCAGAGTTTAAAAATGCGACGCCCCAAAACGCCGATAGCACATATGGAACATCATACTATAGATGTCTACCTAGATTTATCGCGATTTGTGATAAATACCACGTGACTATAACATTACTGTACATATTTTGCCTCTATCTACAATCTTTTTATAAACATCTTTCCGAGTTGTTACAAACACATTTTGATAAGTAGTTAATTTATTTTATCTGCTTTTTTGGAAAGTTTTTTTGGTAGTTGTATTTTGTGGGAAACTTAGGGGTTTTTTTTGGGTAAATGTTTGGGTCAGTTTTCGGGGACAGACAAACCAACCGACCAGCAAGTAAATGACAGTAGAAGCTCCTGCCATAGCTTAAAAATCTCGGATAGTTTCCGATAGTCTTTTGTATGATGGGTATATCCGATATTATTTGTGCCACATAAAATTCAATCAATGTTTCGATTTTTAAAGTTTTTTCTTTCATTAAAAAATGTATTACAATATTTACCCTAACAGTCCTCAACCCTACAATTTTAACATATTTTTTCCACACACCCCAGGGGGGCTTAGAGTAATGATATTTTGCTATAATGTATCTGACTTTCATTTAACATGCATATAACAGTGACTATTTTGACCCTTATAGTTTAGATTTTTTGATATCAGATAATAATAATAATAGGTAATAATAATCGGCATATAAGAACGCTCTTATTAGTAAACTAAATCACAGCGCTTACATTATTATTATTACCCCTGATATTTGAAGGTAAGTTCCTTTGGTTGGTTTTTATGTTGGGTTAGACTTCGATCCTAAGGTCTTTGACTCCTGATCTTTAATGACACAACTTATTACAGTCAGAGTGGCAAACACTAAATGCTCCAAGCATGCATAAAGAAGCGACTCCCAACAGCACATAATGAATGTGTATCCACACGCAACGATACATTGAAAGTGAAGCTGAAAACCTCCTCCGCAAAAATGTGGTAAATATCACCGATGATTTATGGACATTTTCCCCTGCGATAACCTTTGGTACTTCCCAGCTATGGATGCCAAATGCAGTATGCAGGATATTCGCCACTGCAAATGGAAAGGATTAGTACTATTGCCATTACAGAATGCTATTATGCAAAACTCATTGAGGTATTCATGTCCTTCAGATGTGGGTGAACTAGTAGCTTGGGGATGCATTAAATATCTGTATCGCCTCAGGAATTATTAAATACCTATAAATAGCGTAACAGCGTTTTGGTGAGGAGACTGCAGTCGGTCCAGATGCAGATTTTTGGCTTAAACTTATACATGGTTTGAGGAAATATCAATGTGTAATACTATACACTATCAATAGTTTTAATCAATTTGGAATGCTCTACGCTGTATCATCGCGAATGACTTATTTTCAAAGTCTGGCATTCAGACGACTATCAAAGATTGAATATTAATTACTAATTCTCGGTGATAAAGTGGACCGGTTATTTTTTCCACATCTTCAGACCAGGGTTCAAGTTCGTGCCAGTATTTCAAGTTATTATCAACCCGTGAACCGTTTGGAAGAACTATTGGTTTGTTTTGATTTGAGGCTCCATTGTATATTTTTAATCCAACTAACTTTGACCTCTTGGTAGCCCCAGAAGTAAAAGTCAAGCGACTTCACGTCAGATTACAATGATCATGATTGATAGTTTTGTTCAAGAGTTATAAGTGAAAGAAGTTGTTAATTTTTTCAACTAAAATCGCGTGTAACTTGATATCAGATGACGTCATCATGACTAAGAGTTATATGAACACCTCGGGATCGAGGCTGATGTTTGTAAAAAGTTACAAGTTCCTACAATTTACCGTTTAGAAGAAGTGGCGGGAACCTATCGACCAGAAAAGAAAAAAACCGATAAAGAAAAATTCTGACCATTTCAAACGGTAATCGGGTCATACCCGATCACCCGAAAATAATCTGGTCAATAAAGATTACTTTCTTAAACACTTTCTCAAAGGCCAAATCAATTGCTCTCTTTATGACGACCTTCTTCATGGAAATGAGTCACAAATCCCTGAATGCATTTTCTATTCAAAAGAAATGACGTAAAAAAGTCTCTAAAGGTTATACAGCAAACGTTATCTTATCTTTAGAACGTTTCATAACGCTTTAAATGTTTATTGGTCGTATAAACGTTTTATAGCATTCATGCCGTTAATAACAAAATTCGTGTCTCTTAAAACCATTTTCAATTTAGAAATTCATTTATTAATCATCGTTTATTTTATGTTCTGAGAGTAAAACCCGAAATATTAAATGTTGCAGCCAACATTTATTCAATCTTTTAGGACAAGTAGTAATGCTTTGCTTACATTGTTACGCTTGCTATAAAACGTTTACTGATCGTATAATCGTTTTTTTCTAGTTTCGTGTCCTAAATAAACTATTAATGTCGTTTTAGAATCATTTCAATATGAAAATTCACTCAAAAATCAACGTTCATCCAATGTTTTGCGAGTAAATCCCCAAACACTAGATGTTGCAGCCAACATTCATTTTGTAAAGTAAAATTTA